CACCCCCATGGAACTTCAATTTGACTTGGACTGTCCACAAGGATAAGATGATATCAAAATTCCCACCCCCATGGAACTTCAAATTGACTTGGACCGTCCACAAGGATAAGATGATATCAAAATTCCCACCCCCATGGAACTTCAATTTGACTTGGACTGTCCACAAGGATAAGATGGTATCAAAATTCTCACCCCCATGGAACTTCAATTTGACTTGGACTGTCCACAAGGATGAGATGATATCAAAATTCCCACCCCCATGGAACTTCAAATTGACTTGGACCGTCCACAAGGATAAGATGTTATCAAAATTCCCACCCCCATGGAACTTCAATTTGACTTGGACTGTCCACAAGGATAAGATGGTATCAAAATTCTCACCCCCATGGAACTTCAAACTGACTTGGACTGTCCACAAGGATCAGATGGTATCAAAGTACCACCCCCATGGAACTTCAATTTGACTTGGACTGTCCACAAGTATAAGATGGCATCAAAATTCCCACCCTCATGGAACTTCAAATTGACTTGGACCGTCCAGAAGGATAAGATGATATAAAAATTCCCAGCCCCATGGAACATCAAATTGACTCGGACTGTCCACAAGGATAAGATGATATCAAAATTCTCACCCCCATGGAACTTCAAATTGACTTCGACGGCCCGCAAGGATAAGATGATATCAAAATTCCCACCCCCATGGAACATCAAATTGACTTGGACTGTCCACAAGGATAGCCCAAGGAACTTCAAATTGGCTTGGACTGTCCACAAGGATAAGATGATATCGAAGTTCCCACCCCCATGGAACCTCAATTTGACTTGGACTGTCCACAAGGATAAGATGATATCAAAATTCCCACCCCCATGGAACTTCAAATTGACTCGGACTGTCGAGGACGATCAGACGATGTCAAAATTCCCAGCCCCATGGAACTTCAATTTGGCTTGGACCGTCCACGAGGATCAGATGATATCAAAATTCCCACCCCCATGGAACTTCAAATTGACTTGGACTGTCCACGAGGATCAGATGATATCAAAATTCCCACCCCCATGGAACTTCAAATTGGCTTGGACTTCCCGCAAGGATAAGATGATATCAAAATTCCCACCCCCATAGAACTTCAAATTGACTTGGACTGTCCACGAGGATCAGATGATATCAAAATTCCCACCCCCATGGAACTTCAAATTGGCTTGGACTGTCCACAAGGATAAGATGATATCAAAATTTCCATCCCCATGGAACTTCAATTTGACTTCGACCGTTCACGAGGATCAGATGATATCAACATTCCCACCCCCATGGAACTTCAATTTGACTTGGACTGTCCACAGGGATAAGATGATATCAAAATTCTCACCCCCATGGAACTTCAATTTAATTTGGACTATCCACAAGGAAAAGATGATGTCTAAATTCCCACCCCCATGGAACGTCCATGTCCACAAGGATAAGATGATATCAAAATTCCCACCCCCATGGAACTTCAATAATTTGATTTGGACTGTCCACAAAAGATGATGCCTAAATCCCACCCCCATGGAACGTCCACGTCCACAATGATAAGATGATATCAAAATTCTCACCCCCATGGAATTTCAAATTGACTTGGACCGTCCACGAGGATCAGATGGTATCAAAATTCCCACCCCCATGGAACTTCAAATTGGCTTGGACTGTCCACAAGGATAAGATGATATCAAAATTCCCACCCCCATGGAACTTTAAATTGACTTGGTTTGTCCACGAGGATCAGATGATATAAAAATTCCCACCCCCATGGAACATCAAATTGACTTGGACTGTCCACAAGGATAAGATGATATCAAAATTCCCACCCCCATGGAACTTCAAATTGACTTGGACTGTCCACGAGGATCAGATGATATCAAAATTTCCACCCCCATGGAACTTCAAATTGGCTTGGACTTTCCACAAGGATAAGATGATATCAAAATTCCCACCCCCATAGAACTTCAATTTGACTTGGACTGTCCACAAGGATAAGATGATATCAAAATTCCCACCCCCATGGAACTTCAATTTGACTTGGACTTTCCTCAAGGATAAGATGATATCAAAATTCCCACCCCCATAGAACTTCAAATTGACTCGGACTGTCCACGAGGATCAGATGATATCAAAATTCCCAACCCCATGGAACTTCAAATTGGCTTGGACTGTCCACAAGGATAAGATGATATCAAAATTCCCACCCCCATGGAACTTCAATTTGACTTGGACTGTCCACAAGGATAGCCCAAGGAACTTCAAATTGGCTTGGACTGTCCACAAGGATAAGATGATATCAAAATTCCCACCCCCATGGAACCTCAATTTGACTTGGACTGTCCACAAGGATAAGATGATATCAAAATTCCCACCCCCATGGAACTTCAAATTGACTCGGACTGTCGAGGACGATCAGACGATGTCAAAATTCCCAGCCCCATGGAACTTCAATTTGGCTTGGACCGTCCACGAGGATCAGATGATATCAAAATTCCCACCCCCATGGAACTTCAAATTGACTTGGACTGTCCACGAGGATCAGATGATATCAAAATTCCCACCCCCATGGAACTTCAAATTGGCTTGGACTTCCCGCAAGGATAAGATGATATCAAAATTCCCACCCCCATAGAACTTCAAATTGACTTGGACTGTCCACGAGGATCAGATGATATCAAAATTCCCACCCCCATGGAACTTCAAATTGGCTTGGACTGTCCACAAGGATAAGATGATATCAAAATTTCCATCCCCATGGAACTTCAATTTGACTTGGACTGTCCACAAGGATAAGATGATATCAAAATTCCCACCCCCATGGAACTTCAAATTGACTCGGACTGTCCAGGAGGGTCAGACGATATCAAAATTCCCACCCCCATGGAACTTCAAATTGACTTGGGCAGTCCATTGACTTGCACAATTAGTTTCCGAATCTGCGGTTTTAGTTTCCGAATCCGCGCTTGTAGTTTCCGAATCTTAGTTTCCGAATCTGCGCTTTTAGTTTCCGAATCTTTGTTTCCGAACCCGCGCTTTTAGTTTCCGAATCTGCGTGCGTGTTAGTTTCCAATTCCGCGGTCTTAGTTTCCGAATCCGCGCTTTTAGTTTCCGAATCTTAGTTTCTGAATCCGCGCTTCCAGTTTCCGAATCTTGGCTTCCGAAGCCGCGTGTCTGTTAGTTTCCGAATCTGCAGCTGTAGTTTCCGAATCCGTGGTCCTCCTCAGTTTCCGAATCCTCTGTTTTTAGTTTCCGAATCTTAGTTTCCGAATCCGTGTCTGTTAGTTTCCGAATCTTAGTTTCCGAATCCGCGGTTTTAGTATATATGTTTTAGTTTCCGAATCTTCGTTTTCGAATCCGCGTGCCCGTGAGTTTCCGAATCCGCGGTTTTAGTTTCCGAATCCGCGCGTGACCAAGGTAAAGTCATGGCAACATGCAGGAATGAACTTGTGTGAGTTCACCATCCGTGCCATGCATTCTCCGTACCCCGTCAGGGCCACAGCTCCGATGGTTGAAGTTGAGAAGGTGGTTGCGCCAGATGCGGAACTCAAATCAGGGCGCAAACTTGAGATTGCGTCGAATCTGCGGGCAACCCTCTCAGACAAGAGTTGGCTGATTGTGCCAAGGGGATCTTCCATCAAAATTGAAAACGAGGCTGGCGTGGGTGCCAACGGCATCGAGCTGAACTTCCACGTCTCCTGTGACTTTCTGCAGCTGGAAGTAGTTCAACAGCTTCTCAAGGGCATGCAGCCTACAGGCTTGTCCAACGACGACGCCGAGACAGTTTTGAGGTTGCTTAACCTGTTAGGCACTTTAGTGTGGATGGACCAGCCCGAGCTTCGAAACCTTGTGCTTCTCAATCCACGTCGAGTTGCAGTTGCAATGGCATCATTGATGACCATTTGCTTTGGCCAGGAGAACTTTGAACACAGAGACATGATGATGATTGAGCGCAAAATCACTGAACATCGTAGTGACCTTCTTCGATTCCAGTCAACAGGGATCGCAACGCGCAAGTTGATCAGAGGACTTTGGAAAGAGGACCCCAGGGTCCAAGTGCTTTCAAACCTTGTGTCTTGTGTTGCACAATGGTCAACATAAATTGGGAAACTGTCGCAAGTTACAGTAGTAAACAGGCAGGGTAATCCTCGAGGGAAACAAAGAGAAGGCTAAAGGCCTGATAAATTCATGCCCTAGGAGCCTTGGCACGGATTTTGGCTGCTTGTTGAGAAATCAGCTTGGTGTTGCGGGTATCAAATGTGAAGATATGTACAGTAGAGATACTCTAGCAGGAAATCTCAAAGCCTATAGCCTATCAATCCTGTGGGGACTATTTTGGCTTCCAACCACCTCCAAAGGCCCTATGCTGCTGTCAACACACTAGCAGCATCCCGTTGTCCTTTACTCAAACACTGATAGAGGGCCAGAAACCGGCCACCTGAGGATAAAAAAGGCCTTGCCATAGAATTTAGGTGCGTAGTTCTTTTCATGTAGAAGTTTGTTCCATTTGATTCCTTCACACCTGCCTGAGATAGCATTATCGATGCCGTTTTTGAACTTCCTTTTCGCAAAGCTCCAGCAAAGCTTTGGTGAACGGATAGGCGCAAGTTTGCGCAGGTGTGTATAGGACTTGTGTGAGCTGGAGTGGTTGGAGTTGTGCCCATGGCGTCATTAGTTTGAGCCAGTTGCGGTAACTTGATGGCATTTTGCCCGCAAGTTTCGCGCGTTGCAGTGATTGATTTGTTTTCTTCCTTTAATTTTACTTTGGAACATGGTGAGTTGTGCAACGTGCGTTGAGCTGGAGGGATTTGTGCCTGCAATCGCAAGGAGTTTCCTGAGGAGAGCCAGCAAGAGCTGATACGGCAGATCTTGCTGGAAAAACACCTGATGTTCGAGCGACTTGTTCAGGATGAGTTCGTTCTTCCAAGTTGTTTACCCGTTGCACACAGCGCAGAAGAGGTCGTAAGAGAGGCAGGCAAACTTGATGTCGGTGGTCTTTTGTCCCCAAATTTCTTCCCGGCGTTGGCCCAGAAGATGTACAGTTGCCAGATCAAAAACGACTCTGAAAGCACATGGAAACCAGGACCGCCCCAAGTTTTCCGGAATCGCGGGCACTTTCATGCAGGCACCTGTTCAGTGTCAATATCTGTATTTCCAGTCAGTCTGTGCAGAAGCTCCAAGAGTGTATTGCGAATCGTTGTTCAGGGAGGCAACGAACTGAAATACGAAGAAGTTGCCCAAAAGGTGAAACATTTGCTAGAAAATGACATTTTCGGTTTCAATCCTGGATGTGAAACAGATCCTGCCTCCATTTTTCAGTTGAAAGCTATCCCAATTACTTCAACACTTTGCATGAATGTGGGATGTAAGCAAACATGCTCTCTCTGTAGACTCCGGGCCTTATTGGAAGAGCGTTTCCTACCCGACTTGGACAGTGACCTCCGCTCTGTTGTGCAAAGCGCTGCCATTTTTGGAAGGCACACACGACCTGCGGGCAGCTTCCGTTTCAAGGCTATGAAATATCCTGGTGATGTTGACCTGGAAGAGTATTTGGCCATAGATGCCAACAGTCGAGATGAGGCCCTGACAGAACTTTGCAGGACCATTCAGACCCAATATGGGAATACCCAATATGGGAAAATCGCTGGGGCAGGTGGTGTGGAAGTGTTTTTCGGTGGATTCAAAGCAGGTTTTGGGCCCGCGTCTGATTGTAGCGGTGCAAAAAAAGACTACCTGAGTTGGACGCAACAAAACATTTGCTCGTCAACAGAAGCTTTGGAAAAAGCTTTGGGAGAAGGTCATCATACTTGGACTGCCAAGCTTGACATGTTTGCAAAAGTGAATCTTTTTGAAGATTCCAAAGAGACACCTCGCTATTTTGAGGTTACCAATGTCCTGCGAGCTGGTTGGTTCAAAGGGCCTCAACCTATCCAGCCGATCAGCGACGAGAAGGATTTTTTGCAGTCAGTTGAGAAGAATTTGGAGAAGTTTTCAGGCGAGGAACCCAATGCAATGAAGTACGTCAAGCGCCTTTGGGAGAGAAGTGCCTATTTAGCGGAGCGAGGGTTTGACTTGGAGTGGAACTTGAGCATTTTGGAGGCTCTCCGCCCGCTGCTTGGTCACTGGGTCGCTGAACTCAATCAAGTTGCGGCGCATGTCGAGACCATCATCAATATGATGCAGTCTTCCCACGAGTTGTTTGAACATGCATGTGCCGACCTGCCCATACTTCGCCGCACAGCAGCATGAGTTGTTTGTCCATAATGTATGATAAATGGTAAAGTGTTTGTTGTTTCCCCTTTTGTCAAAGACGATGTAATTTTGCATTCTGATGCATTCTTGATCATGTGCAGTGGATCGTTGCTTGATGTTTTAGAGGCCAGAACTTGAGCAGATTGAAGTCTCGGCTTCACAACATTGATGAGTCAGAGAAGCAGGCTGCAGAAGATGGGCGCGACAGCATTGCAAAAGCAATGGAGTACATCCCGGAGCTGCTACCAGAATCGCCACCAGAAGCTCCGAAAGAGAAAGACATGTTACGTACATTCCTGCGCAAAGCACAGCTGTTGTTGGAAAGCTGCGTTGAGACCGTCTTGATCGGAAAATTGGGTTCTTTCGAAGTTCCAGTGGCCAAACCACTCGGCAAGCGCTGGACGTTTCCATCAGACCACCCTCCCATTGCAGCTATGCTCAAACTCGGTGAGAACTCCATCAAGGTTGCTTCCTGGAATGTTCTGAACCGGAACTATTATAAATACATAGATAAAGACACACAAGGACTCAAAGGCTCGGAAATAACAATGCAGCATGAAGCTGGTACAAGAGAGAGCAAGATCATTGAGAAGATCGAAGAGATGCTACAGAACGATTTCCGAATATTGTGCTTACAAGAATGCTGGCCGGAGTTGCTTCAGCAGCTTGGAGAAGCTTTAGAGGAAAGACAACCTGAAGTTCAGATGCGCTGCAGCGGAGAAGACAAGAACCAAGAGGCAATACTTTGCATGTGTTAGGACATCTTGTTTTCCATATCCAACATCCAACAGAAAATCGCAGCATTTTGCCTCATACCTCTGGCAATTGTTGGACTCAGCATCTGTATCCGCCCCTTGCAGGCAATCCTTTTCCATTCCGACCATGTTTACTTTCGGGAACGTATTCATTTTCATCGCGCCTTCAGAGAGAATTCCAAGAAGGCGGGTTGTTTGCTTGAAGCTGGTACCATACACTTAGTCGGTGTAGGCAAGGTAGGTTTAGTTTCTTTCTTCTTTTGCCAGTGCAGGTGGTGACTGAGGCCCATTTCAAACATGCTGGAATGGGCCTTTTGCGTGTTGTGACAACGTGCTTTGGCTGCACCTCTTTCCAAGAGGGTGTGTGAAACCGCTCCTCTCAATGTGAACTGCACACTCAACACCCCTCCGCCAAGGCATCTACCCGGCGCTCCTTTTGGGCGCGCTCGCAAAGAATGCTGGGATTGTCAAGGGCGAGAAGCTGCCAACTGTACTGCTGGCAGATCTGAACTTTCCCGAAAAGGCCTTCTGAGGAAAGGGTGTGAGCGGCACGAGTGACAGGATATGACAGCAAGCCCCAAGACCCTTGAAATCCCTTGAAGTATGCTTAAATTGTCAACAGCGTATGACAAGCATTCTGTGTCCTTCAACTTTTGTTTTCGCAGAAACGTTTTGGTCTATGAACAGAGATAAAAGGGTACCACTTTCGAGGATTGAATCGCTGCAGAACAGCCATTACTGCAGATAGCACAGTACCTCCACGTGGCAGGCCATACAACCTCTTTTGCTTGATCATGACCTTGACGTATCCTTCGTCCCGACACCTTATCCAACGAACATTTGCCAGGCCTGGCAGTCAAGAGTCGAGTGAATATTAAGCAAGCACATGGGGCCCCGATTTTGATAGTGATGTGGACTTCTTTAACAAACCTTAGCGGCGCCGGGAGCTAATAAGATGGCGTTTATAGGTTGCACACAGACAACAGGAAACTATACCCAGAAGTGCTTGCACGGACGTTCAACCATTCTCTTTATTCCTCGCTCAAATCTGTGGATCCGGTACCGTTGAACTGTGCTTTGAATGCCTGCCTTTGCCCCTAGGGGTCCTTGCTGCCGAAGAGGATTGATAGCATTGCAGTCATCAACCACGAGGCAGGGGCTTTCCAAGATGCCGTGCATTGATAGCTTTGCACCTTACATGGTCTCACCACGTGGTTAAGGTCAAAGGCGCAAAGCTCCAAGCCACAGCTCTGAAAGCTGAAGACGTCCTCGATGGTCTCAGAGAAGTTGTGGACCTCTTGAAATCCAGGCCCATGCTTTGATGTTGCCTCAAACTTGTGCTGCGGGCTGGCTGTTGCCAAATTGCAGATGGCTGATCTTAAGTTCAAAATGATTGGTGGTTGGCTTTGGTCTGTCCCATCCACAGCATCCGAACATATACGAACATCCTACTCTACAAATCTCTACAAATCCAACAAGTCCAAGTAGCAGGGGAATTGCTATAGGGTGTCATTTGCAAAGCCCACAGTTGCCTTTGCTGTCAGAAACGTTTGTCGCCAATTGTTGTATAGGTCAGCAGAGCCATGGACGCCAACGCGATACCAATCAGATAAGGCTGGCCAAGCGATTTGGGAGTCGCTTTGTCTCATGAAGGTCTGCAGGAGTTTGAGAAATGGGGACGAACATCTCGACGGGTGGCTCAAAAAAAAATCGGATTTGGTAGTGGAAATTGTAGAAGCTGGTATGAAACTAAGTTCAAATACGAAGCAAAAGTAGATTGAACGTGATTGAACGAAAATTATCCCTGAGTGACGCCTGAGTGAGAAAAAATTACTTCACTTCGAATGATCCCCACCATGACATTTATACATTTTCTTACTGGCAAATCTTCTGGCATTCTATCTGACATATCTTCTGGCATTCTATCTGGCATTCTATCTGGCATATCTTCTGGCATATGTTCTGGCAAATCTTCTGGCATATCTTCTGGCATTCTATCTGACATATCTTCTGACATTCTTTCTGGCATATCATCTGACATTCTGTCTGACATATCTTCTGACATTCTTTCTGGCATATCTTCTGACATTCTGTTTGGCATTCTGTTTGGCATTCTATCTGGCATATCTTCTGACATTCTATCTGACATATCTTCTGGCATATCTTCTGACATTCTTTCTGACATTCTATCTGGCATATCTTCTGACATTCTTTCTGGCACTCTATCTGGCATATATTCTGATATTCTTTCTGGCATATCTTGTGGCATTCAGAACATTCTTTCTGGCATACCTTATGACATTCTATCTGGCATATCTTCTGACATTTTTTCTGACATTCTATCTGGCATATCTTCTGACATTCTATCTGGCATTCTATCTGGCATATCATATCTTCTGACATTCTATCTGACATATCTTCTGACATTCTTTCTGACATTCTTTCTGGCATATCTTCTGACATTCTGTCTGGCATATCGTCTGACATTCTTTCTGACATTCTAACTGGCATATCTTCTGACATTCTATCTGGCATATCTTCTGACTTTTTTCTGGCATTCTATCTGGCATATCTTCTGGCATATGTTCTGGCAAATCTTCTGGCATATCTTCTGGCATTCTATCTGGCATATCTTCTGACATTTTTTCTGGCATATCTTCTGACATTCTATCTGGCATATCTTCTGACATTTTTTCTGGCATTCTATCTGGCATATCTTCTGACATTCTATCTGACATTCTTTCTGGCATATCTTCTGACATTCTATCTGGCATTCTATCTGGCATATCATATCTTCTGACATTCTATCTGACATATCTTCTGACATTCTTTCTGACATTCTTTCTGACATTCTAACTGGCATATCTTCTGACATTCTATCTGGCATATCTTCTGACTTTTTTCTGGCATTCTATCTGGCATATCTTCTGGCATATCTTCTGGCATTCTATCTGGCATATCTTCTGGCATATGTTCTGGCAAATCTTCTGGCATATCTTCTGGCATTCTATCTGGCATATCTTCTGACATTTTTTCTGGCATATCTTCTGACATTCTATCTGGCATATCTTCTGACATTTTTTCTGGCATTCTATCTGGCATATCTTCTGACATTCTATCTGACATTCTTTCTGGCATATCTTCTGACATTTTTTCTGGCATTCTATCTGGCATACCTTCTGACATTCTATCTGACATATCTTCTGACATTCTTTCTGGCATATCTTCTGACATTCTTTCTGGCATATCTTCTGACATTCTGTCTGGCATATCTTCTGACATTCTTTCTGACATTCTTTCGGGCATTCTATCTAGCATATCTTCTGACATTCTTTCTGGCACTCTATCTGGCAAATATTCTGATATTCTTTCTGGCATATCTTGTGGCATTCAGAACATTCTTTCTGGCATATCTTAGGACATTTTTTCCGGCATTCTATTTGGCATATCTTCTGACATTCTATCTGGCATATCTTCTGACATTTTTTCTGGCATTCTATCTGGCATATCTTCTGACATTCTATCTGACATCTTCTGACATTCTTTCTGGCATATCTTCTCACATTCTGTCTGGCATATCTTCTGACATTCTTTCTGGCATTCTATCTGGCATATCTTCTGACATTTTATCTGACATCTTTTCTCACATTCTTTCCGTTGATATCCGGCAGTGCCCACTGCGATCTGGAAGTCGCGGTTGAGCTCCGGCAGTGCCCACTGCGATCTGGAAGTCGCGGTTGAGGTCCGGCAGTGCCCACTGCGATCTGGAAGTCGCGGTTGGGGTCCGGCAGTGCCCACTGCAACCTGGAAGTCGCGGTTGAGGTCCGGCAGTGCGCACTGGGGATCTTGAGCTCGCGGTGGAGGTCCGGCAGTGCCCACTGAGATCTGGCGCTCGCAGTGGAGGTCCGGCTGTGCCCACTGGGATCTGGACTGCGAGGAGGAGGACGAGGAGGAGATGGAGGAGGAGGCGGAGGAGGAGGAGAACAGCTCTTATAAAATCTAACAACCCTCACCTGGCAGGTGGGGAATAATTAAACAGCAAAATAATTTCACAAAAGGACATGACATCATTCCAAGCAGACTAGGCGGCTTTAGTTGTTGCATCATAGTCGCAGAATCATGCCTGTAAACAGAGGATAAGATGTGCACATAGGTATTTATCATGGCCAAAGCTGCGTCCGTGCCACCATCCCTGCCGCTGCCATTGCAGCAGAAGAAAAGCAATAGGAGAAATTTCCTTCCTTCGACATGAAATCTGCTCAGGGATGAATCTGTTGATTCCCCAGGTTCAGGGAATATCTGTTTTTAGATGTGCAGCTGCAGGAAAAACGATCTTGGGCAATATTGCCGGAAAATCACACACCGCGACTTTTATTGGATGCATCAACTTGGCAGGTTGAAGATGCAAGCTTTGAACCATGTAAATGAAGACATGCGTTCTGAATTGTGATGGATGCAGACTTTGGCTGGCAACTGGTTCTACTTAGGGCGTGAACGAACGAATTTGCCCCCAATCTGTTTTGAAATCGAGCGGTCTTTCTTCCATGGGGTTGGCTTGGGAAGAGTCACATTTGCTCTTACACTTCAATTTTGTGTCAACGTATCTTGGACAACAGGACGAAAGGATAGGATTTCTCATTAAATCTCTGCCTGAACATTCCTTCGGTCAATTATTTTTGGTAGTTTTGGAGTATGACCTAAAATTACCCAGTTTTCAGAATCTCGTCTAATTCTACTAGTTTGCCTGGTTTTGTTTCCTAGTGGCCACACTATCACCACAATTGACATTTTGAATATGACTGAACATGGCTTGCATCCTGGCTGCGTCCCAGGGACATACCACCCTGAACTTCCAAAGTGCCCAGTTAAACTTGCACGCTCTAGAAAGTACATGATTCACTGAAAGTAGCCTTTTCACTTGACCCTGAACAATGATATAGAATGGATATGTATTGATATATATATTTATATACATTTACATATATATATATATACACACCAGTAGAACCCTTAAGATATCCACCAACCACTACAGTATCAGCACAAACGTCCCGGAAGAAAGAACCTTTATACATATACCATGGAGAAACTAGAAGGATAAAAACATATATCATTTATAAGTGACCTTGGGCCCCTGACTCATCAGAACCATTGACTTCAGCTTTGGCCCTGAGTGCCCTTTCTCGCGCTTTCCGGAGAGACTCTTGCACGTTCATGGTCCCCGGATCAGTAACAGTGTTGGCTATGAACATGGCTACTGAATAAATTCACGATTGAAGAAACATGTTTTAAAAGTTTATTGATGACTCCAAAATCACAAGTTTTTCACGCACTTTCACGGTGAAATCACGGGTTTTTCACGCACTTTTCACGCTGAAATCACGCTTGAGATTTTTCTAGGAAATTTCAGAATTTTTGAATTTGAGTCTAAATCGCACTTTCCACGACACACTCGCACATTTTAATTGCACATGAATAGAAACCCCGTGGCCTTTCCCAACCAATAAACTCAAAAATCTAGAGGGAAAGAAGGGGTATGCCTACCATTAGCAATCTCATCTTTTATGTGTGCCTTGAGAGGTTCAATATTTCGCCCAATATGCAGCCGACGCGCAAAATTGTGCGCTACATTTTTTCATCTAAGGAAGTAGGGACATTTTGAGCCTTCATCAATCCTGCCGTGCCCTAATAGTGACAGCTTCCAATGTATACAGCCCATATCGGTCCATTTGCTAGCCAAGTAAAACATGAACGGTGTGAAAGGTTCAAGTTAAACTGGTACTTTGTCAAGGTGCCCAGTTAAACTTGCACGCGGAAGTTCTGGGCCAGGCCATTCTCATATCCCGAGCATTCATATCCCGAGCACCAACGCATATAAATGCACATAACTGCGCCCAAAATTACCCGCAAAACACACGCAAAAATCCGCAAAAATCCGCAAAACGCCCGCAAAAACCCGCAACGCCTGTAAATCCAAGAATCTGGTAAATTTGTATAATTTTTGGAGCGCGCAATTAATCAGAAACCAACTTGGATGTGCGGCTCCATATTTTGAAAGCAAAATGCTGGTGAGAAGATTGGGAGGAGGGCCATGCCGTTGGGAAACACAGCCATGACATACCACGCCTAACTTTTTGGGGAAACGCTCGATACCGATACGACCATAAATTTGATGAAACGCCTGATTGTGCAAAACGATTGATATTTTTTTGGAGTTGGAAGGCCCAGTTGCAGATGTTCAATTTCATTCCTTGGCCTCATCTCAGATGTTGATTTTTATCCCTTGTGTTATCTTACTTGACAAGATGTTCGTCCCTATATTAGTTTTAATGTGGTGCCTTTGCCTCTGGTTTCATCTCATCTCAGATGTTTGTTCATTCCTCAGTCGCATCATACAACCTCCACCGTGTTATGCGGTCTTGCACCAAGTCATGTTATGGCATTCCTGTCGGTCAATTTGTTTTGCAGTCTTATCTACGTATATTTGTGTATTTAAGAAAGGTGATCAATAATGTGTGTGTGTGTGGGTGTGCTTCAGGTATCTTTTTGAGCATCATTTCAGCATCATCAGCTTGGAAACGCATGCCAGATGTATAAATAAGAATATACATTTATATATATAATGCAAATATTATCAGATCATTTTATTCAGTTTAAAATTTTGATATTCATGCTCGTGATTGTATCAAACTTCCCACATACAGCACCCCTTTTTTTGAACATCATCCCCATGTTTGGGGTAGAGGTTTGCTCCCATCAGTACATAGTGATCCCGACTTATGACTTCAAATCATGCCGTGAATGTTCACGCCCCTTTTCTGGCGGGATGTTCGGATGTAATTCGCCATAATGGTTGTGGACATCATCTACCCCCCTTCGCCATAATGGTTGTGGACATCATCTACCCCCCTTCTCTCCGGATAATCAAATACCATAACTATCACCTCAGTTCTTTGTGAGATGTTTTTTGACATGTATGTCAAACTATTACTAATGGCATATGTAATAATATCTGAGTCTTCTCCACTTGTTTTGTCATGTACGTTCTGCTTACTTTGCCATTTTTACGATATTTTTTTTCATTTTTGTTTCTCGGATTTTGTTTGGAGGACCCTTCGCCGGGGCCGCCACCGGAGCCCGAGAAGCCGCCGGGCAGGTGGTCCCTGGACTTCACGTGACCCCCAACGAAAGAACGAAAGTACGACGAAAGAACGAACTGAACGCTGTGGTGATGTGGAGGTGGTCACTTTAGTTATAGATAATATGCTCATATGTTGATATTACTTCATGATTTGATATAGTATAGATGAGATGGCGGATGGTTGTTGCAGCAACAAACCCACAGCCACAACAGTGTCTCTGCGAGAATCTTAGGATGTGAAAGGTCACGAAGGCTTAAGATGTATAAACAATCCCACGTATCAATTCCACCACACGGGTGGTTCCACCGGCCCCATCTTGCCACGACTCCAGGTACACCATCGGCCCAGAAGGCAACGAAGGGTTTTTTGATGGAAAGGTGCAGCTGTTGGATCGACGTGTGTTGGGACCTCAGCAATTATTCGGGATGCATCAAATGTTACCTACAAACAGAAAGCATTGGTAAGCGCATTTGCGCATGAGGGTTGGCCAGTTGCTCACGATGTTTTCTTTTGTCAGATTCCCTTTGAAAGATGCAACAGTCATTCACCCATGCTTTCTCTTTTCAATGTCATCTGAGGTACAACTCCGTGAGGGCCGCCGTCAACAACTTGAACGATGGCCTTATTGCCTCCACCTCAGCATGGCAAAACATGGCAAGTTGTGGTTTGCAGTCTGGCAACATCTGGCAACATCTGGCAACACGGGTTACAGCATGTCACTATATTAATTACTGAGGTGGTTCCCGAAGGGTACTGCGTGGTGTTCTCCGGTTCCGAACAAGGCCTGGGACTTGGCCTGCAGACATCGCCTATGGATTATGGAACGCATGGAACGCATGGAAGTTGAGCCGTGGAGCCGTGCTGGAGCTGTGACAAACTGAGATTACTACCTACTTTGGCGAGAAGACAAGGAAGCCGAAGTCTTTTCTTTGCACTTGTCTCAGGACAATTGTTCGTTCCCATTTTCATGGCATTTCATGGCACGGCGATAAAGTTTCAACAGAAGCACTGAATCCACTGCCGCGAAGTTTGGTCACTGGGAGTCACTGGGGAATCACTGGAATAGATGCTGGCTGTCTCAGGCTGGGTTTGAGCGATCAGTGTCCTGGACGCACAGATAGACCAATGTCGCACCAATGTTGCGACACCGTTGAGAGAAACAAAATCCCATTGATCGATCTATATTTGTGCAAACCTTGCCGGCTTGCACGGGCTATTGAAAATAAAGCTTGCCCAAAAAGGGGGTTTGAATGGTTTTGACGTTTTCAGGTTTGCCAGAACAATGTGTGAATAATCATTGAATGATCATTGAATGATTTCAATGTCTGTGTGCGCCGTGCGCATGGGCATCCGAACATATACGAACATCCTACTCTAGTCACCAACAAGTCCAAGTAGCAGGGAAATTGCTATAAGGTGTCAGTTGCAAAGCCCACAGTTGCCTTTGCTGTCAGAAACGTTGTCGCCAATTGTTGTATAGGTCAGCAGAGCCATTGACGCCAACACGCTCGTCAAGCGATTTGGGAGTCGCTTTGTCTCATGAAGATCTGCAGGAGTTTGAGAAATGGGGACGAACATCTCGACGGGTGGCTCAAAAAAAAATCGGATTTGGTAATGGAAATTGTAGAAACTGGTATGAAACTAAGTTCAAATACGAAGCAAAAGTATAGATTGAACACGATTGAGCGAAAATTATCCCTGAGTGATGCCTGAGTGAGAAAAAAAATAAACAGCAAAACAGTTCCACGAAAGGACATAACATCATCCCAAGCGGACTAGGCGGCTTGAGTACATCATAGTCGCAGAATCATGCCTGTAAGCAGAGGATAAGATGTGCACATAGGTATTTATCATGGCCAAAGCTTCGTCCGTGCCACCACCCCTGCCGCCGCCATTGCAGCAGAAGAAAATCAATAGGAGAAACTTTCGACATAAAATCTGCTCAGGGATGCATCTGTTGATTTCCCAGGTTCAGTGAATATCTGTTTTTAGATCTTTTTGTAGACATGTCATTGTAAATCCCTTGTGAAATCGGGAACCGTGATTTCGATGCATCAACCCGTAATGTGAGAAACCGAAGTAACCGAAGCATGCATGACGAACCCGGGTTTCTCATGTTTTCTAAAGGATGTAGTTCGCTAGTTAATGCCGAACAGGTGGTACCATCTACGGCCGCATCAAAAGCTGCTGAATCTCCAAAACCAGCTCCTGTTCTGACCTCAGCGTTGCTTGTGACTTGTTCCTGCAGTCAGTTCCATTTGCCCAGATGCGTAGCCATGGACATGGCCGGTGACCAATGACGTTTGCATTTAGATTTGTTGGATTGGGATAGCTTTTTGATGCTTTTTGGTGCTGCTACGGTAGAGTTTTATTGTATACTTAAGAGGAAACTTCGATTGTTATTGGGACATGACGCAGTCAAATCTTCATGTTGGGGATGGATCCATCTCCAGATCCATCTCGCTGTGCAAGACGTGTGCTGTGCTGCCAGGCATCTGCCTCGACTGACATGTGATCGGTGGGGAACTCAGGATCTTTGGGATGGATCAAAACTAATTGTCATATGTTTTGGGGTATGAAAATCAATCAACATCAGCTAGTTTGGTGCCAACTGACCCATAACATCCCAAAACCACATTTTGCCTCGAAAACAATTTCCGTATTCAAACAATGACTGCAATCTTGTTTCGAATCACTCCATTGATTCAGGATTTTGGGTACTTGTGGGCATTGTACTTGTCTTTACCCACCGAAACCTCAGTGTGTCTATGGCTGACGCTTTGGAAGCTGCACTGCCAGTTCTTAGGTGGAGGCACAGCAAGGACACTTGTTGTTGAGCTTCATCAGTGGTGAGATTCTTGCCTCAAACAGTTATTGATTGATGTGTTTTAATGTGTGGTTTTGGGGATCAGATCTGCTTTGAACAGGGGGCGACACAGTCAAGATTTCCAATGCTTCGTGGGGTTGATGACTGAGGATTACTGCGTATATGAGGGCAGTGAAGAATCATCTGGAAGCTTGAAACATACCGGTTTTCATGGTTGAAGCAACCGTCGGCCAAAGTTTTGCTGACCTGACACGGATAGGATTGCTCCGTGCCAAAGGCATGGTAGCATTCTGCACCTCGGAATATGGTGCATACACTGGTGTAGGATATGAAACTTTCCATGAGCTTGAATTTGCTCATGACCACCAGTTGCTCTTGTTTCCGATTAGGCTCTGTGATGAGTGGCCACCAGCGCCGCAGAACAACGAACGAGGCATCTATCAGAATCAATTGGTGTTCAAAAAAAGCCTGGTGTTCATAGATGATCGGCAGATGACTCGGGCCCAATGAGTTGCTGATCAGATCGCTGAATCAGTGGCGCGCATGGGAATCTTCTCCAGCTAAACTGTCTTCAAATAGATTGCTACATAATTATGCTTGAAAAATCGGAGCAGATTGTTGGAGAATATTCCTGGAGCCTCCTCAGCTCATTCTTTCTGCCACTCAAGTCGCAAAAAGATGCGCAGAGCATCCGATACAGACGCTGTCACAAGAATTTGTATTATTGAAACGGATAGGTTTCCAGTTTGGACCGGATTTTTGCCCATCTTAGGGAGCCGGAGGCCCGTGATGTAAAAGGCCTAAAAGACCACCGGTATGCCAATTGGCGATCCCACCTCGTGTCACATTTGTTCGCTCCGAAGTCAACGTTGTACTTGGCCAAGCTCACAGCTTGTCAATGAGGGTTCGACATTGATAGGGACTCAACCTTTGCAGCTCATTTGGGACCTGTACAGAAATTTGTCAAATCTCCTTTGCTCATTCCCTTCCTTGCATAACGCCCTTTGCAGCTCCACAGTGGAACAAGGCTTGATGATGTGGACTGTGGAACCTCTGTGGCTAAACGCAGGCAGCTGGGACCCGGCTGCGAGCAGTTTCCAAAACCTAGTGGAGTGGTTTTGCTCAGCTTATCCCCATCCCTATCAGGCCCTGGGATCAACCCTATCTTCCAATTTGCTTGATCCACATAGATCCCCTGCGGTGGACTTTTCAAGTTGGTAATGTGGAATGTAGTGGAACACCAGTCAAAACGGGGGCCGCTCACCCACATGGATGCCCTGCTGCAAGGCTGACATAACAGCGATGCCATTCTGGACTTGATCAAGTTTACAGGCGAGTAACCGATGGTTGGCGTGCAGCATGCCTGACATGGACACATCATATGTGGACATGTTGGTGGTGGAGTGGGTGAATCTTCCCCTACGGGCGAAGCAGATGCTTCAGATATCATCAATACCTGCCTGTGCCAGCTGAATGTCAGCGACGCGGGCACACTACTTAATTACTGTTGAAAGCCAGTACAACCACAAAGGGCAATGTGAATGTATGTTTTTTGAGATTGGTTCCCCTTCCAAAAACAGTACCTTTTCCGTCCTTTTCCTGGATTTTCCTGGCAGATCTGATCCTTCAACCTCAGCTCATAGGGTCTCGCAAGGTCAGTACCAAGAGCGCCCTGCTGTCTGCAGTTTGACGATCGGAAAAAGATGCGGACGGTTGGTCAGTGAAGTGGTTGCCCAGTCAAAGCCCAATCAACCCGGAAGATATCCCCAGGTCAAGCACTAGCGTTGCATGATTCTATGGCTGCGGTGGAAACATCAGCACGAAGAGCAGCGGGCAAGCTTTCTGGAAGGTTCCAGGCAGATGAAGGTAGATTTTTCATGTTTGATGACATTGGTGATGATGATGAAGAAGATGAAGTAGTCTTGCCTGTGTTCATTCAGAAGCGACGTGCTGTATCGATAGTTTCACTACAGACTGGCACTCCGATGATACACACATGCGGATTTTAATCCAAAACGGCCAGAAAAAGATGGAAACGCATTCAGTACTATAGTATGCATCTATTTTGTGAAAACACAGTGGAAACAAGGCTTCAAACCAATCCCCAGAACTTCCGAGGCAAACAAGAATGGTAGAAAACTTCAACACAATGCGACATGATGAACTAGGCACTGAGTCTGGAAGGTCTTTTGGAACACCACGAAGTGTAAACATACAGGATCTGATGTTTCAGAGTTGTCCCTTTAGCACTGTACATGGGCCTTGGCAAAACAGTCACTGCCCATGTTTGCAGTTTGGATTTCTGCCCAATGGCTGCAGCTGACCAGTCGAGTCATTCGAGTGGCTTGGCGCTATCCGTCATTGCCCTTTTCTGATGCTTTTTGACGTTGTTTCTTAACTTTTTTTTTGCATTATATAAATAACTATAATCCCGATGATATCCGTATTGAATATGATTGAATATTGTCCCTCTTTAATACCGAATGATTTACGGATGTAATAAGGATGTAATTATATATACCACATTAATCAAACCACAATGATTTACAATAGGGATTTTGCCTTGTGATTTGATTGCGATTGAGACATTTTCTCCTGAACATGTCTCCTGGAAGCTCCAGTCATCTCCAGCCATCTTGCCAGCAATTTTTGGATGGAACAAAGGGTATCATGGTTGAAAAAACGAGTGGTTTTCAACTAGTCAAAAGGCCATGGTCCATGGTTATGGTTCAACCTCAAAGGGTATCATGGTTCAAACCACTATGTGGATTTCACTTGAGGCTACCAGAGAAGCTAGACAGTGTCAGGGCTCCAGAAGATGAAGAAACCTAAGCCTGCTCAGGCCTCGCCTGTCATCAGCTTCTTTCATCCGCTTTATTTACAGAAAAGTCCTGCCCGCTAACCGAAGAATTCGGCCAACACTGTGCTTAGAAGGGCAGGATGGCGGGCCTTGTGGCCTTGTCCGTAATGAGATTCTTGAACTTTTCATCATCCGATAGTGGTGAATGTGGTGAAAACAACAGCTTCAACGGCGCTTAGCACTCCTGGCGCACAGTTCTCTTTCGCTCCAGGCCCAAACAGAGCACCAGCTGGCGCAGCAGTGCCAGAGGCGACATCGGAGTGTTGAGCCACTGATTTGGTGCCTCTTGCATCTGGTTGTTTTTGCCCAAAATGCTGAGTTTGAAGAGTTTAACATGTTGTCCGCAACCTTAACGTTCGCCCAGACTCATCATTGTGACATAACAGAGACAATTCTGTGTTGCTGGGAAGTTGCGAATCCAAGCAAGGCCAAGGGGGAGAATTAGGCCACGGTGGCATGTGAAAGATACCTCGAATACAGTTATCTTCATGAGGAAACAATATCACCTGATCATCATGAGGGATCAAAATCCGCCACCCCCTATGACCAATATGCTGAAGGGGCTAACAACACGCCAACCTCTATTGCCAACATGTTGAATCGGGTAATTACATCAACATTATCTTAATGAGGGAACAAAATCCGCCACCCCCTATGACCAATATGCTGAACGGGCTAACAACATCAACTTTATCTTCATGAGGGATCAAAATCCGCCACATCCTCAGAACAATATGTTGATTGGGGAAATATCATCAAATTTATCTTCATGAGGGATCAAAATTAGCCACCCCCTCTGAACAATACGTTGATTGCGGGACATCAACTCCGGGCAAACGTCCCGGTTGCAGCGAACATGTTTAACAATCCAACAGAATCCAACTCTGCAATGATTTTCCGCCTCATCTTTTCAATCTTTTCAAGTGTCTCACAAGTTGGATCAACGCCGAGCCAGGGTGAGATGGAGCTTGGCCCTGAGCCAACACACAGATTGCTGCAAGATGTTTAGAAGGCCGGAGTTTTTTTGTGCTTGGCAAACCTTCGGGCCCAGTCATGACATATGAAAGATCACAAAAGAATTATCCTCTGGTAAATTAACATAGACCCTGAAAATTACTATTTTTAACTGGAAACTAATCTTCCAACCCCTATCTGGCAGGGTCGAACTGTTAATTTACCAGGGAGAAGAACATAATCAGACCTCGTATTTTAATGGATGAACATCCAGCTATACTGTAGCTATGTTGAGATGACAACCAGGGTGAATTGACCTCACATTGTTGATCCACCAGTGGAAGGAGGGTGCCGGTCTCAATCATTATTTCCTACCTTGCGGCAACACGCGGTACATCGAGGTACCAAGTGGCTATGAAACATAGCACTGCGAAATTCTCCCAGGCTGGGCACCAAGAATTCAAAATCATCCGCCGGATAGCCTGGATTTCAAATGTTTGACCGATACGGCCCCTTGAAATATGGTGGGCGAAACCGACCAATATGGGTCTGTGGCGTTCAAAATCTTTTTCGAGACCAATTTATCAGAGGGTTATCTTACCGTGATAACGCGAAAGCCGTGTGAACTTTAGAACACAGGCATTTTGACCACGGCTCACGTGGGATTTGACCAAGTATGGATCCACCTAACTCCAACCAGGTGACATGACAGCCTTCGACTTGGCCTTGAAGTACGCTCCTGACCGGTTGCGGACTTGTGGAGGCCGGGTGTGGCGAACCACCTGCCATGCAGGAGAAAGCTTCCACAGCAGGTTTTTGGAGTTGAAACTGCCTCAATTTCTGATGGCTGGAGAAAGATGACTTGGACATTGATCTGATAACTTCAATCTGCTCCTGAAGAATTTTGTTCGGGTTCAGTCAGAGCATCTTCCCTGGCAAGTTTGTGCAAAGTGTGTACTAGTAGATACAAATAATGAGGTGATGATTAGGCGTTGAAGTGCGTAGGTATAGATCTAGAATCCAGAGCACGCTTCAAACTCAAATTGTATTCTTGACTTCTGCACCCGGTTCAGTGCGCAAGCATGTTTTGGTTCTTTGGTGGTTGTGCAGTGGCGACGCTTCAGCTATCTAACCCACCCTCAAATTTGATCCTCCAAACTTGAGACAAGAAACACAAGGCCCCACAAAGGTACTACGCTTCTGGGGAAGTGTGACATGATCTGAGACCTGCAAATCTCATTGAGTCTTGGATGTTTCTTTTTTCCGGATGATCGAGAAAGGGTGTGATTTTCTGGTGATAATGTTGATGATGATTTAGGACATTTAGGATTGTAATGTAGTCTCTTTTGCTTGAATTTCCGGATGATTTTTAGGGATGTGAAGGGGGTATAAGACCTGCATGTTAGAAAGATACAGTGAGATATAGTGAGATATAGCGAGATATAGTGAGATACATAACATATCATAATAATTCATATTTGGATATAGTTGGGTTTTGTGAAGACATGGTACAATCCATACAAAGTCACAGATCTTTCAACATCTTTCAACATCTTGGCTTTGGGTGTAGAGATCTGGATCCAGATCATGAAATAAACACGAAGATACATGAACTAAGCTGATTTCTTGGCTCTTTGGCCAACTCTGGCCACTCTTTAATGATTTTCCCGACTGTTTCATCTAAAGATTCACCACATTTTACAACATCTGACCATCATTTTGCCATAATTTTGATCATTTTGCCCGTGTTTTCCCAGCGCAAAAGATGGCATTTCCACCAGGGACGTGAAGAGCGTCGGCTCCCAAAAGAATGCTCCGATGCTTCGTGGCGTCGCATGCTCCAAGAAGGCACCCAACCAGTCGCCAGGTGAAAAAGTGGGCGTGGGAGGCCTATGGTTAGGGGGATCGGCCATTAATAACCATTAACCATCTATAAAATGCATTGATACTATCATTGGGACCACCCCATTTTTTGGGTAAAGATTAGGGTTTTCTACAGATGTTCCGTTAAACCATTCCATTGACAACATGGAAACATATGGAAACTATTGGAATCACATGATATCAAATAATATATCTGAAAATCATCACAGATCATATCAAATTCACTTTGATGGGCCATAGTGGGCTTTGGTGTAGTGACACCTGATGACACATGAATAGCATGGCATGTTCTCCACTCCCCGTGAACCTTGGAGGTTGCCAGCTCCAATAGGAGACCACTTCAGAGCTCTAAGTTGGCGCTCACAAGAGCATTAGGAAGAATTTCTTTGTTTGAATCAAAAGTGCATATTTTTTAAAAATCAAAGCTGACTTTTCGTGGCAAGAAACGGTGGTATTTCAGAGCTGCCGGCCAGAACTACGGCTCCCGAATTGGCCCAGAGCCCTTCGGCGATTCCTTCCGTTGCAGCCTCAGATAACTCAACAGTTCCTCTCAAGTCATCAACTGATCATCAACTGATCATCAACTGATCATCCATTGATCTCCGAATTCGCAGATTTTGCAGAGCAAAATATGTGCAATTTGCAGGTGCCAAGTACCTCAATGGAGTGAAGAAGCATCCAGTGGCCACGGTTCGCCATGACTGAAGTTGGATCATGATGATCATGGCAACGTGAAAACGTGAACCCTGTCGGTAGTGATTGAAATGCCAGGCGCCCACATCACTCATGGACACCATCTCAGATTGAGGAGACACCTGGGTGGCTACGATTTTTTGGATTTCTTTGAGGGATTCCTTCCCACCACATGGCAACTTGAATATGGTGTCATGATGATCCAGTGGGATTTGGGGGATATGATCATCACTGATTTGATTAATATCCTATCATCAATGATGATTATAACTGGGGGATATGATAATCATGATAATCTTAATCCCACTATGATACTATAATGTAATCATGATGATAAGAGTTTCTTTTGGGATCTACTTTTCGGGTTCCTTTTGTTGCTGAAGCCAGTGGACTTCAGCATTTTCGGCCAGACCTTAGGAGTGGATGCCACGATTGCCCCACAGCTGCTGCCATGTTTCACCGGTCCAAAGAGTACGTTGGCCAAGCCAAGAAACCAATGATTTGTTTGGGCCAAAAGAAAAAATGAGAGCATGGCAGGGTCTCATCTAGATTTGAACATCCTGAGGAAAGTGTGGATTTGTGCATGCTTGGAATCACATGATGGGTTTCTCTCAAAACTTGGTATTCTCGTATTCTGCAAAATCAAAGTGTGGATCGGAACTATGTTTGATCAAGCAATGGCAGTACACATGCTTGCTGGTAGCAAGAACGAAGAAGTGAGAAACCAAATGAAACCAATAGTTGGCGAATGAGCAATTGAGAAGGCATTGCAATGTGCTTAAACATCTTGAACACAACAAGAGCACTGCACAGGTATAACACCATCCCATTGGGCAATTTGCATTCCCTGATATTCCCCAAACTTGGATGGTTTGAGGCTAAAGATGAATGTAATAACAATGGTTTGAATAGCCATTTGAATAGCCATTTCTAGCCCAAAAACTCCAAAGACTCCGCCCATATCAAGCAGAACAGCATATATTGCCGGCCACTGCGGGCTTCCCTGCCGCCTTCATGACGGCAGGCTGGAATGCCTGGGAAGTGTTAGAAAACTGCATGTCTCCCCAAAATGGCTTTGCTGATCGTTTTTGAGCTGCTAAACCATGACATGTTAGTTGAAACATGCTTGCAACAAAGCCGGCCTTTCAGCCATTACTGTACAGCCATTAGATAGAAAGCTCCTTCAAGAGCTCTATTGCAGCCCAAGATGCGGGTCTACTACTTTGGGGTCCGCGTCAACTGGGACAAGTTGTTGGCCATCGATCAACAAAAAGAAAGCTTCAAAGCCCAAATCTTCGTGGAAGCTACGTTGCTACATCCCCAAAAAGTGCGCGAGTGTGATGAGAAAGATGTCCTGAAATTCTTCACAAGGGCCACCGTGGAGAATAGCTTAGCGAAGCCGAAGGATGACGAATTTCCGACACAGGATGACAAAAAGAACTGGAGATTTGTGTGGCTCATCCATGGTGAGTTTGGGGAAGAGTTGGAGCTGCAAAACTTCCCATTCGACACCCAGGACCTCTCTGTCATGCTCCGCTTTGGATGGTCCCTCAGCCGACACCATCCGGCCATAGCACACAGTTTTTCAGTCCCAGAAGGTTGGGAGTTGCTGGGTGGGGATCCGGCCGAGGCCTTGCAAAGACCGCAAGGAGGTACAGGTGCGCTTCGTCGACTCTCGCAAATCCAAGGTGTGGACTTTAGGGGAAAAAAATAAAGAAAAATACCAAAAACACCATAGACTCAACATGAACTGGTCGTTGTAGGATCTTGTAGGTTTGATGGCAGGTTTTTGATGCTATCCCATATGAGGCTCTCGCGCAGGGTGAAATGTCCATCGAGACTTGCCACAGCTTGGTACTGATCCTGAAATACGCCTGTATCATATTACACCATATTACACATGAATGGTCTGAATGGTTCAGATCTATGAGTTTTTTATGGAAGGTGTCAAGAGGTGATTCTCAGAGATGGTATGCAGCCTTTGTATTCCCAGGCATGCCAGATATCACGAAAGCGAGCTTCTGCTAGCTGAAGTCCCTCTTGCTTTAGACAGATGAGTTTGCGAGTATACTGGGTGTTTTCATGCCAAGCTCCCTGCCAAGCTAGCTTTCGTAACCTACCCCGCCTCAAGATGCCTTAAGTAAAGCTGAGCCCCATGTTTTGAATGTTTTGAATGCAAGCTACGCAACATATGCAACCTGAAGATCTCTTCAGGTGTTCGTGAACATCTTCTGCTTGAAGAACGCATGGACCGAGCCAAAGGCCGTTGATGTCAGATTTGGCTTCACCAAGATCGATGAAAATTGGAAGCCCACGCCGGAGGAGCCAGAAATACCAGATCAGTTTCCCCTCATTTGGATTCGCTGTCAGGTGGGCCGAAAACCCAAGATGCTCGGCACAGACACCTGCTTTTTGTAGTCTGTGATTTTGGAGACAACTTGATGTGGGTTCAGGGACGCGTGAAAGGTTTGCGCAAGCTTGGGGTCTGGAATCATTTGTAAAAAGGAATCAGGGTCCACACCGGGGGGGTCCTTAAATGGGGGTCCCCAAGAATGGATGGTTTATAATGGAAAATCCATGAAAATCCCTAAACATGGATGATAACTGGGGGGTACCCCCATGACTCAGGAAACCTCCAAATACAGCCGTTGAAGAAACGCCAGGTTTTATTTGCTGAATGTGGTTTTACCTGTCGCCTCCATTGTCTTCGCGAGCATCTCTTCGCTTGCTGTTTTTGAGGATATGGGTGGACGGCTTGGTGCAACCTTAACGTTACTGCTGACGGCAGTGGCTTATAAGTACCTTGTGGCCGAGATGGTGCCTCGACTGAGATCATCTGAGATCATCAGTATATCTTAGAATATCTGACAATGATGATGATTTACAGATTATTACAGGATCATATTCTACGATCCTGTGAATGATCTGTAATATCTGTATATCTCAAGATCATTTACAATCTTGATTTGCCGAATTTGCCCTCTGGGCCCTAGGTCCATTTGAAGAAAACTAAAATGTTCGCCCGCGTCAGGTGCCAAGGATAAGCTACAACACGCTGTTAGACTGGTACGTCCTCATTTGTTGGGCTTTCCTGCTTCTCATGGTGCTGGGAAATTGCTTCGTGCATCACGATGCCAAAACCGCAGTGGGCTTTACATTTGGCTTCTCAGCTTGAATCAAGGTGCAAAAGGGAGGTTCCCTAGCCGGCGATCGTTGGTTGGGACTCGGAATATTTGGAGGATGATGAGGATGAATCTATCAAGCAATATTACTCAGCGTATTTGGTTTATTTTGGTTTTGTATCAAAGGGATATTCAACGAGAACGAGGAAATCTTCAGGCTGTAAGCCCTTCTTGAGCAGCTTATTAAGCAGCTTATTCCCAACCTTGGATTGATGTTGATGCAGATCGGCGCCACATCGACCATCATCTTGTTTGGGGCCAGCGCCCTACAACCAAGGTGCGCTCTTTGCGTTCTTTAACGCCGTGTTTGCCGTTGTTTGCCTCAGAACGCACCGTGTGGAGCGTCAGCGTTTGGAGATTTCAGATGACCACGGCGACCATGGAGAACCCTTCCTTGGTGCGACCAGTTCGGATGAGGAGAATGAGGCCTTGGTGATGTACTACACGGATGACTTCAACACGCAAGACCCTCAAAACCTCACTCGCACTTTGGAGGAAGTGAAGGCCCTGCCGAAAGAAACATGTAACGGAGGGAGCATGAGTCCAAGCAGTGTGTCGACAGCTGGCAGTTATACCAGTGAGTGGCAGAGGCACAGAATGTGATCGCAGCACTTCCGTCCACTAAATGTGCAGTGTTGGCTGCATTAAAATTTTGAATCCTTAGTTACCTTAGTTCTTGAATCTTTTTGTTGAATCTTTCCAGACCCCAAACGGGGCAGCTGGAACATCGCGGCTTCCGTCTGGCGCCGGATTTTCCAGAACGAGCCATAGAACTTGCGCGATCAGTTCGGAGCAAGTGGCGTCACACTTCGCAGTGCTGGAAGTTCACCCATTCGGTGCCCGGAGGCAAAAGGAGCTTGTTGGGTGAATTGGGTGAAGGGCTGCCTGCACTTCAGCCTGATATTTTATATCCTTTAATATTCCTTTGTGACATTCATGACTCATGATATACATATGATTATAATATAATATATATATATACATACATATGTACATTATGTAACATGTATATTACTGTAAAGTTGGATGCACTGGGATACGTCTTGATACGTGTTGTCCAAGAGAGGAGGACTTGGCAGACATGGGAGATGTGGAAGACATGACGGAGAAGTGGCTCCTTGTGGCCAGTAACTTGCAGAGCTGTGGGAGTGAACAGGTCGTTTTTTTTTCCGCCTGTGTTTTTGCCAGTCTTCAACACTCCTGGAGGCCCACGGACAAGACATGGGTGGCAAAGACTGGGCGGTTAGGCCAGAGGCGTATTCATGGACTGCGTGTGTTTAAGTCAACCGTTGGCTACTGTATGATTTGTAACGCTTTGAAGCCGGGAAATTCCTGCTGTTCGAGTCAACGAAGTGCGAATGACATTCTGTTCATGACCAGATTTGTTGTCTTCGCCTAACAATCAAGTACTCCAAAGTCAATCTGTTGCCTCATATTGCCTAATGTTGCCTCCTTACAACCTTGTTGTTCCTTGGAGAGTTTGGCCGCTTGTTTGACATTGTATATACATTCCTTTGTCAAGGCGGAGGAGAATAACTTTTGCCAGAAATTAGCGAGACTGTTACAGTCCGACAATGTGAGTGCCAGAAATTGAGGAAAATCTGCAGAAGTATTCTGGCAAGACACTTAATGCGATGGTGGAGTGAAGCGCTTGGCACGAAGAGACATCAGACACGGATTGGCACCTGAACATGCTGCACTGAAACCACTACAGGAGCTATAGGACTGCTAGGCTCAACTCGTTGCAGATCTCTAGGCCCTCAAGATGCTGAAGTCTTCGATTCAGGGGACGATGTCATGCCAATCCTCGAGGTGCCGTGCCATAGACGCAGTTCGCAGAAGGGTTCTCAGGGCATCTGGAAAGACAGGGAAAGATGATTTTGAGAAAACTTTTTCTCAACAATAGTTGTAATGATGTAGTAGTCATTTGGGTGGGTCCGGGTTGGTTGCAAACAGACTTGCTATTTAGTATTTCTTGCTATCAGGGGCAGCCAAAGACACTACGAGCTGCTTGCCACTTGAAGCTACCAGTAGAGAAGCTAGACAGTGTCAGGACTTGACTGACAAAATGCGCAAGTTTCATTCTGCTAACTTCAAGATACTTGAAGTTTCCAGGTAGAACGGGCTTACATTTCACTCCACAAATTGCGTCATTTTTGCAGCTCTTCAGTGCAGGATGAAAGAGAGGGATGCAGAGAAGAGTCCTATGGCTGCTCCAGAAGACGAAGAAACCTAAGCCTGCTCAGGCCTCGCCTGCCATCAGCTTCTTTCATCCGCTTTATTTCCAGAAAAGTCTTGCCCGCTAACCGCTAACCGAAGAATTCGGCCAGCACTGTGCTTAGAAGGGCAGGATGGCGGGCCTTGTGGCCTTGTCCGTAATGAGATTCTTGAACTTTTCATCATCCGATAGTGGTGAATGTGGTGAAAACAACAGCTTCAACGGCGCTTAGCACTTCTGGCTTGTTCTCTTTCACTCCAGGCGCAAACAGAGCACCAGCTGGCGCAGTCCCAGAGGCGACATCGGAGTGTTGAGCCACTGATTTGGTGATTTGGTTGTTGCATCTGGTTGTTTTTGCCCAAAATGCTGAGTTCCAAGAGTTTTAACATGTTTAACATGTTTAACAATCCAACAGAATCCAACTCTGCAATGATTTTCCGCCTCATCTTTTCAATCTTTTCAAGCTCACAAGTTGGATCAACGCCGAGCCAGGGTGAGATGGAGCTTGGCCCTGACATATGAAAGATCACAAAAAAATTATCCTCTGGTAAATTAACATAGACCCTGAAAATTACTATTTTTAACTGGAAACTAGTCTTCCAACCCCTATCTGGCAGGGTCTATGTTAATTTACCAGAGGGTAGAACATAATCAGAAACAAAAGTCCTGACATATGAAAGATCACAAAAAAATTATCCTCTGGTAAATTAACATAGACCTGAAAATTACTATTTTTAACTGGAAACTAATCTTCCAACCCCTGGCAGGGTCTATGTTAATTTACCAGAGGGTAGAACATAATCAGAAACAAAAGTCCTGACATATGAAAGATCACAAAAGAATTATCCTCCGGTAAATTAACATAGACCCTGAAAATTACTATTTTTTTAATGGAAACTAATCTTCCAACCCCTATCTGGCAGGGTCTATGTTAATTTACCAGAGGGTAGAACATAATCAGACCTCGTAGTTCAATGGATGAACATCCAGCTATACTGTAGCTATGTTGAGATGACAACTAGGATAACTAGGGGACCGGGGTGAAGTGACCTCACATTGTTGATCCACCAGTGGAAGGAGGGTGCCAAGTGCCTATCAAACATAGCACTGTGAAATTCTCCCAGGTTGGGCACCAAAAATGCCATAAATCATCTGCCGGATAGCCTGGATTTCAAATGTTTGACCGATACGGCCCCTTGAAATATGGTGGGCGAAACCGACCAATATGGGTCTGTGGCGTTCAAAATCTTTTTCGAGACCAATTTATCAGAGGGTTATCTTACCGTGATAACGCGAAAGCCGTGTGAACTTTAGAACACAGGCATTTTGACCACGGCTCACGTGGGATTTGACCGGTCAAGTATGGATCCACCCAACTCCAACCAGGTGACATGACAGCCTTCGACTTGGCCTTGAAGTATGCTCCCGACCGGTTGCGGACTTGTGGAGGCGGGGTGTGGCGAACCACCTGCCATACAGGAGAAAGCTTCCACAGGTTTTTGGAGTTGAAACTGCCTCAATTTCTGATGGCTGGAGAAAGATGACTCGGACATTCATCTGATAACTTCAATCTGCTCCTGAAGAATTTTGTTCGGGTTCAGTCAGAGCATCTTCCCTGGCAAGTTTGTGCAACGTGTGTACTATAGATACAAATAATGAGGTGATGATTAGGCGTTGAAGTGCGTAGGTATAGATCTAGAATCCAGAGTACGCTTCAAACTCAAATTGTATACTCTTGACTTCTGCACCCGGTTCAGTGCACAAGCATGTTTTGTTTCTTTGGTGGTTGTGCAGTGGCGACGCTTCAGCTATCTAACCCACCATCAAATTTGATCCTCCAGACTTGAGACAAGAAACACAAGGCCCCACAAAGGTACTACGCTTCTGCAGAAGTGTGACATGATCTGAGAGCTGCAAATCTCATTGAGTCTTGGATGTTTCTTTTTTTCCGGATGATCGAGACAGGGTGTGATTTTCTGGTGATAATGTTGATGATGATTTAGGACATTTAGGATTATAATGTAGTCTCTCTTGCTTGAATTTCCGGATGATTTTTTTGAACAATTCTCGCCCCAGGAGGAAGGCCTTGTCAGGATCCCTGGATGCCAGAGTTGATTCGGATCGCGGTGTTCGTGGGGCCCGAAATCTCCAATCCTCTCGGGGATCATCGTCTATGAGTCATCTCAGTGGGAACAACAGATTTGCGGCTCATTGGGCTCCAATGACTTGAACCAATCCATGGCGAGGTGCGCCACCCAATGACAGCAGCCATGAGGTGAAGCACTTGTGCCCTGGGCCTTGAGAACTGGGGTTGCTGGGGTGTGGTCATCTGGAGTTAGTTGTTGTAGACTGCCGAGATATGCCGAAATGACGATCTGAAGCACTTTGCCGCCGCCAAGCCGTTGGATTAAAATGTTTTGAAGAACTCCTGCAGCTGTACTGGCTTGCATATTTCTGGAAGCATGCTTCAGGTGCACTTGATTCACATGCCATGTGATTCGCATGGGCTGCATCAAGCCAGTTTGTCCCAGAAAACCCATTGGAATCTGCTTCACGTGACCAGTCCTGAACAGTACTCGTTTCACCACACGTGTTCTCGTTTCCGCCTGGCCATGGCCACACGACAAAACATCTGTGAAATCTCAGGTGGGATTTCAGGGGTGTCATTCTGTGTCCAAGCTCGATGGTGGTTTTGGAACGATGAATTGAGAGTTGCACGGTGTGAAGCTGATGGGCTGATGAACAGATCTATGAAGCCATGTCACGAATCATGTTCCTTTCCATGATGGCAATCCACATGGTCAGTCTGCAGGTTGACCAACTTTGTCGTTTCAACCATCTCCGCTTTATCGATCAGCTGGATCCTCTGGGCTTCCCTGGAGGCCGACTGAGCAAGATGGGCGCTTTCAACCTCTCTGTCTGTTAGTCAAGATATGATGACGCAGCAGTGGATCTGGTTCCCTTCATCATTGGGTGTTTGTTCATGGGTTCAATATTGTTCAATTTCTGTTCGCACCCAACACACCTGTTTCCGGCTTTAGTAAAGGGACCATGGTTGAGGCATTGGCCTTGTCTCAGTCAGATCTTTTGCAAAGTGGTTCTTGCAGCACAGTGCTCACACCCAATATGAAGTGCACCTCAGTCATGTAGCCAGGTTTGGTGCAGAATCAGCTAAAATCTTTAACCCCAGGGTTTCAGTTGGCAAAGGCACAAGTCAATCACAGTTGAGCCATTTGAGGTCTCCTTTCATGTTCCGCCAGGCCTACGAGACTGAGGCAAAAGCATGTCCAGATCTCAGGCTTTTAAAGTTTTCTAATCATCTTCCACTTCAGATACCGGTAGAACTTGCATGCGCCCTGCACCACCCAGGCCTGTGCATGCATGCTTTTTGCGAACCTGCTGCGCTGTTGTTGTCAATGAACATGACCCGCACACATTCACGTTGTAATGCAACATCAGGCGACACATTGCGTTCCAAAGGTCGCACTTGAAACTGCACACTTCAGACTCCACACTTCATCTTCATCTCATCTCATCTGAGCTCTTCTCATTTCATCTAAGCTCTTCTCATCTAATCTAAGCTCTTCTCATCTCTTCGCATATGTCATCCAAGTTATTCTCGACCATTTTTATCTCATCTGAGCACTGCTCAATCTTTCTCATCTCATCGCAGCTCTTCTTAACTCATCTCAGCTCTTCGTACGTCAAAAAGCTTTTACTGTCAGAGAAAAGCTCTTACACGCAATAAGCGTTGCACGCAGAAAGCTTTTGCACAGAGAAGCTTTTGCACACAGAAGCTTTTGGACACAGATGTGTTTATATAGAAGACCTTTTACACAGAAAAGCTTTTACACATGGCATGTGTTTATACAGAGAAGCTTTTCCACACAGAAAGCTTTTAGACACAGCAAGCTTTTACACAAAGACCCTTGTACGAACAAAATGGCAACAGAGTGCACAAAGCACTTCCCTGTACTACTTTGAGCTACAAGACTTGCGCAAATTTCTTCCCAGTACTACATTGTACTACGAGCCTTGCACAAAGTACTGTACTACTTTGTACTACAAACGGTTGCACAAAGCACTTCCCAGTATTACTTTGTACTACAAAGCTTGCGCGTAGTCTTGCCTGTACTACTTTGATTGTACTACAAGACTTGCACAAAGGAATCTCCAGTCCTACTTTGTACTACAAAGCTTTCACAAAGCACTCTCTAGTACTACTTTGTACTACAAAGCTGGACAAAACACTTCCCAGTACTACTTTAAGTACACAAACGAGGTGCCCTTTATCGTACACTAAAAAAACATCCTCCCCAACACACGTCCCATGCGATATGCATGCAGCCATTAAGACTAGACCAAACTACACAAGACTGGGCTACACCAGACCACACACTACACAAGACTAGACCACACTTGACACTACACAAGACTGGGCTACACTAGAACACACACACACACAAAACGAGACTAAGACCACGCTACACAAGTCACAAGACTAGACTACACTAGATCACACTACACAAGACTAGACTACACTAGATCACACTACACAAGACCAGGCTACATCAGACCACACACTACACAAGACTAGACTATATACACTTGACACTACACAAGACTAGACTATGACACTACACAAGACTGGACTACACTAGAACACACCCAAAACGAGACTAAGACCACACTACACAAGACTAGACTTCACTAGACACTACACAAGACTAGACTACACTACATCACACTACACAAGACCAGACGACACTTGACACTACACAAGACTAGGCTACACTAGACCACACTACAAATGACTAGACTACACTTGACACTGCGCAAGACTGGACTACACTTGAACACACACACACACACAAAATGAGACTAAGACCCTGTTGAAAATGTCCACAGCCAAGTCTTGCCAAACCCTGGTACTTCAAGCCTATATTTATTCACGCAGCAGACGTTTTTTTTGCGTGCGCATATTGGAAAAACATCAGAACTCGTTGTTGTTACGCCACACTAAGCTCACCTTGAGCCCATGTTTGCTAAGATGACGCATGACCCAACTTTTTCAAGAAATCATCTTGAGACATTGCCAGCTCGCCACCCCAAGTTGAAATTAATGTGAGGAAAGTAATATGAGAGGAAGCGATGTGAGGGGAAATCATTTGAAGTGACGAGACAGTGTGAGGTGAGATAAGGTGAGGAGGACACTGTCAAAAAGTCCGTAATTGAGAGTTTATATATCTACGAAACTTTCTTTGACAATGGTTCATTTGAGCCACGCTGTATCTTTTTTTTTCCCCAGAGTTTCAATTATGCCCATAGTCACTTGTTCGAGAATCATGTTTCAGACCGACGAGCTGAGTTGCATTAAAGTAGTGCCCCGAGATGAAGGCAGCTCAATTGATGTGACCTTGAGGTGCGACCGTCCTATCACTGGCAAGCCTGTCCCCCTCAAAGCCATTGGCTTCATCAAGCCGGACGGGTCTGATGCGCAGCTGGTTCTGATGCATGTAGGATGCGCGAGTTGCGAAGGTGGGTTGGAACTACTATGTGCCGAGTTGACAAAATGGCCGACTTCACAAGTTTGCTCTTTGAATCCATAAATTTGATTCCTCATCCACTGGGGTATGCCTTGACCTTCAAAACCCGTTTTTGGTTGGCAACACGAGGCTCAGACCCAGACGTATTGCAACCCTGGCACAAATGTGGCCCCAGTCGTCAACTTGGCACGTTCCGACATGATGACGATCTCCAAATTTCACAACCTGGTCTTACAAGCACAATGAAGATACGGTTTCATCGGTTTCCGTTGCTTTCCCGCGAATTGGACACATCGTCGAAGACATCCTTCAGTGTAGAGATTCTTGATTTTCAGTTGGTGTGATGATGTGTGCGCGTTTCTTTTGCCTTGATTTGTGCTTGGTGTTCCTTGTCACAGAATATGCGACTTTGTTCGAAAGAAAGTCTTGTCGCCATGTTTGTTCAATGGAAAGGATTGAGGGGGTAGAGCATCACTTCGAACGACCTCTTCGAAGTGGCGGGGACATCCATCACTTCGAACGACCTGAGCCAAATCCAGCTCCACAGCGCCTGCAGGCAGCACGGCCGGGTACAACTCAGAGGATATGAATGTAACATAATGTAACCGAGTGCTTTCAAGGTGATTCCCACAATCGCAGTTAGCAAACCACATCGACTTGGATTTCTTTCCGAAGAAAGATTGATGAAGTATTGTGGTTATTTGGTTGATTTTCTGCTGCTTGCAGATACGATAGTTCGTACAACTGTGCATAGTCTGGTTGGACAGAACTGTTTTCCAGTGGGACATAGCGGGATATCAGATATCTATGAAACTAGCTGCATTTAAGTACTTGATATATCTTGATATTATGCAACGCACTTGGCTATAGTTACGGACACTCCGTTAGAACTCTTGCTGGAAAATGTCCGTTCTCACACTTAGAACGTGATCAACACCCCACACCTTTTGAACGGAAAGAACATTGCAAGATATTTGTTTAATTTAGGCCCTCGATGTTCTAACTGTGAGAAACTTTGCCACCAAGCTTTGTCATCTTGACGACATCCAATATATATTGAAATTGCCACTGCGGACCATTCATGAAACAGGATATGGGCATGAAAGTATGTGATTTGGAAAACCTGTTATAACTGCATTTTGAATACAATTGAATACATAATATACAGAAAAGGGTACATGTTGGAGCAGCTTGTAAGTAGCTCAACATCAGCATCGCGCAAGAATTGCACAAAGCCGGCCCAAGGTTTGCGCTGAGAAAAAAAATGTAGGGAGTCAGCTTTGCAACATATCATTTTGAAAGATAATTTCCCACAGTATCCTGTCTTTAGTTTTGTCTTTATTGAAGTGTCAATTGAACTGTTGTAACACGCTTTGAGCAGAAAACATGCGAGGGAGCTGTCAAACATTGCAGTGCATGGTCATCCCCCATTGGCTCCCAAATTCTACCAAAAAATCACGCCTCTCGACCATCTCTACGTATGTTTGTTTAGTGTTTTTGTTGTGGTTCTTCTAGCTACGGCCCCACGCCAAAAAAGCAACTTAGCTGTATGTAAATAAACGTAATTCATGGACATTTTGGTCCAGCAAAGGCAGCTGATGTGATAGTTCATTGCTAGGCCGAGATTTCCTAAATCCTTGGGTGAGCCTATTATTATCAGTACAGCTATTTGGGCATCAGTTAGTGGGGTTTAGGGGCTGTAGCTGAGGCGTTTGATGATGGCAACCCCATTTTGCCAACACTAAGCACGTTGACATTGTTAGGGTTGGTTGGGCGATGGTTGGGGACTCCGCGTGACTTCGAGTGACTGTTTCTGTGAATGTATGCAAAAATTAGCTTACATTTCTACGAATGTACACAAAAAATGAGTAGATTCACGGAATCTCGCGTGACTTCGCATGACTTTCCGTGACTTCGCCTGACTTCGTAGCATATGTTCATTACTGGACTTCAACACATTTTTTCGTCCTACTATGCGGGACAATTTTCAAGCCGTATAGAAAATAATTGCGACGTGCAGAGTGCAGAGGGCCACATGGCATACTTAAAGAAAGAGAGAGAGATATATATATATATATGACACTCCGCCCCGGGGTTAAAGACTCATCTTCTGTTTCTGATCTTAGCATTTCGGTTTAAGCTTCAGTTAGATGCCCCCCGCTCGGTGTCAACCTTGTGGCACCAAGTGGGTGGTGTTTGGCGGAGGGCTTTGCCAGGTGTGCAGGACCCTTGACCGCCTGAGTGCGGTGATCCGAGGCCCTGAAGTACCTGCAGAAGCTGAGCAGGTCTTGCTTCAGCGGCTGCGGGCTTGGCTGAAGTCGCCCGTGGGGTCGCCCCCAATCCCCTTCAGCTTCGAGCCGGGGGAGTGGTTGAGCACCCTCCTGAGGGAGTGGGGCGTGAGGAGCCGCCCACTCCTGGGGTCACCGCCAAGGCGCCACCTGCCTCCACCCCCACCGCCTGTGCCAGGGGCTGGTGGGAGTGACCCAGGACGCCAGCGCACAGAGCTGGTAAAACGGGAGGTAGAGGATCCTCCTAGAGGTGAGGCTGCATCGTCATCGTCCAGAGTCGCCAAGAAGGAGAAGAAGTCCAAGAAGCCGAGACGCAGGAGCTCTTCATCACACAGAGCGGCGCGGAGTCCTTTGGCCAGTCCAGTGAGGCCTGCTGGGGTCCCTCGATCGGACTCAGACGAACGTGCCAGTCGCCGAGAAAAGAAGGCTCGACCTCTGAGCCCAAGAAGTCCATCTCGTCCACCGCAACGCCATCGACAGTCAGCACCTCCTAGCCAGAGGCCGTTGGGGAGGTTCTGGCAAGGGGCCATTCCAGCTAGGCGCTGGGAGCCCCCCCTGGACAGGGGGTTCACTATCAGAAGAACAAAGGTGTTACCAAGAGGAAGAGGCGAGAGGAGTTTCAAAGGCGAAACCGCCGCCATTGGGGAAGGCGTTGATGCCTCCTCTGAGGAGGCCTGCTGCGGCTCTTCCTGTGGGGCGAGCTAGAACCCGCAGCCTGAAGCGTCCAGCAAGGGATCTAGAAAGTGAGGAGCAGCTTGAGGAAGTCTTCAACGCCTGGGACGTCACCTTAGAGCAATGCCGGGCCATGGAAGATGTGGAGGTCGTGACGGGCAGTTACTGGGAGGCCTCAGCCAGGGCAGTAGTCCGAGTACAAGAGGTCAGCCTCCGCAAGGGGGAGTTGTACTTGAAAGGGCCTGTCCTGGGCACGCAGAGCGAGCAGCTGTTGAGAGCGGCTTCAGAGCGGGAGCGCCATGTGGTGGAGGTGCATCTCTGCCCCCAGGCGTGCACGGGCGGTCCTCATGCCGAAGGGGTGATGCACGCTCGTGTACTTCGACGTCTTGGAGCTCATCGAGAACCTTGGATGACCAACATGGTCCCGGAGGAGCGGCGTCCCGACCAGGAGGACGAACTGGCCGATGTGAGAGCAGACAAAGAGAGGATGCAGAGAGCCCGAGAACGCAGAGCCGGGGATGTCAGGGGAGGCGAGATGCCCCCTGGAGACTCCGAAGAGAAGGCCGACAAGAAGAAGTCAAAGCACAAGAAGAAAAAACGAAAAGACTGGAAGGTGGAAGGGCAGAAGGAGGTTGCCGTTATCTTCAAGCACACCGGAGCCGATCCAGACCCCAGTGTGAGGCGGACTTTTTGCCGCAGAGCCGCCCGTCTGGCTCACAAGAAGAGCAAGGGCGTATCAGGGAGCAGCAGCTCCAGCAGCAGCGGCTCGTCCAGCCCGACCCGGGGCGACGCGAGTTTGTTTGGAGCTGCAGGCCGAGTCCAGCTGATCGGAAAGAAACTTCCCGGGACTTTGTCAGCGGCGGCCGTCGAGGAGATAGGCGAGAACCTCGTGACCAGCGAGGGCGGGCTTTGGGAGGTAGGCGCAGGAGCCCTACCTCCTTTGTACCTGAGGTACTTCAAGAGCCATCTCTCTTCCAAGATGGCTCCCGCCATGGCGAGAGAGGCGCACACGTTTTGCCAGGCATTGGATTTGATGATCCGAGGCCGCATCGCCGAGAGCCTGGACCTTTGCTCTCAGCGAGTAAAGGCCTTAGAAATGATGGCAAACGGCTGCCATTATACGGTAGCACAACAACAAGAGTTGCTACCGCGCGAGGGCATTACCATCTCCACGACGTCAGAGTTCCAGGAGGCCGCCCGGAGGGCGAGGGAAGATGGGAAAGCCCGAGCAGAAGCTTCAAGGCCGTACGGCACTCGAGGAGCGGGCGCAGGGAGGAGCGACGAGTGGACGAAAGGCAGCGGCAAGAAAGGAGATCGAAAGGGCAAAGCAGGAAAGGGCGACTACAAGAAGCCAGAGGGCGAGAAGGGAGACCCCAAGAAGGGGAAGGGGAGCTGAGGAGGGCTCCTAAGAGAGGCGATGAAGCGATGAGGCATGGAGAGGATGACATGCATGGGTGATAGTTCGTCACCTCAGCTGGCACCTGGGGTGACGGGTACTGAAGGGGTGTGGACGGGGGGTGGCGGGCCACTATACGGCTTGAAGCGCCAGCCTCCCCTAGAAACACCTAGATCTGAGATAGGAATTCAAACTTTTGTGGTCCCACCGCAAGTCGTACGTACTTGGCGGAAGGGCCTGATCAGTCTCACCTGCATGATGGGGGGTGGCAACCCAATGCTTTAGAGTTGCAGGAAGTTGGGAAGCCCCCTCAGCCCGCGATGCTGGTTGGCTCGGACATGAAGCTGTTGGAGCCAGTGGCGACTAGTACAGGTGGCGAGTCTTCGGACTTGCTTAGTTTTGCAGGCAGGCGGTTTTTCGAATTGGGGGGACCCCTGTTGGAATCTCTCCAGAATTTTATGTGGGATCGTTCCAGCAAGACCTTGTCCACGGCATCGGATACTATATTTCCATTGCCTCTGGGAGATTACCCTGGGGTTCCCCAGAAACAAGAGCTTTGGCTGCGCGCAGTTCTCCTTGGGCTCAACTCCCTTGCGGGGGTTTCTGGGCCACGGACTTCAACCCCGAATGAGGCGCAAAAAAGGTTGGTCTCCGAGCTGCTACGTTTTCTGAGTAGGATGTGCGACTGGGAGGAACAAGTTCCCAAGACGGGATTTTCTGAACTGTTTGATGTTAAGGGGGTCGACTACCGAGGGGAAGAGATCAAGCTGGCCAGGGCTTTCAACTGAGGGTGTATTGCAGGGGCTTTACCAAAAGAAGTAGGCACACTGGAGCTGTCAGATTTTTGTAGTGGTGGCTGCAAACATTATATCGACTGCTTCGAGGAGTTTCTTCTTCCCCCTGAATTACAAGTTCTGGGTCATACACCCCGTATAATGGTTGCTGATGCCGACTGGTGTGGAGTTGTACAAGGGTTGTTATCTACGGGAATTTGTGGAGTGTACCCCCGACATCTTCTACATCATGTGGACGATAGACCCCTCCTTAACGGCTTGTTCGCGGTTTCCAAGAATGAGTTCTCTGATGCTGGAATTGAACTTCATCGTTTAATCATGAATATGGTTCCGCTCAACAAATTATGTCGGTCCATCCAAGGGGACGTAGGCACACTTCCTACCTTGGCAGGGCTGAGTGCCTTTTATTTGGAGGAAAACGAGATTGCGGTGATGAATAGTGAAGACATTAAGTGTTTTTATTATTTGTTTCGGGTCCCTGATTCTTGGATGAAGTTTATGGGATTTGCTCGAGAGATCCCCACTGAGTTTGTCCCGGCCCAGTGGAAGGGTGAGCCATGCCACCTAGTGGCTCAGGTACTTCCCATGGGATTTATAAATTCGGTGGGTCTCGCACAGCACATTCACCGCAACGTTGTGAGGTGGAGCCTGGCAAACTGCGAGACGGATCTTGGAGGAGAAGCCGAACTCCGCAGAGACAGGCCAGCGCCCATGGGTAAGGATTTGTATCGGGTTTATCTTGATAATTGGGATGAAGTTAGGAAGGTTGACAAGCGGTTTGTAGAAGAGATTGAAGGGAAACCTTCCTTGCACCAGCTGGCACTGCGGCAGCAGTATTCACTGCTGGAATTGCCGCGCCACCCCAAGAAGTCAGTTGACAACTCCTGCTCGGCAGAAATTCAGGGAGCTCTCCTAGATGGGAGAGAGGGGGTGGCCCATGCCAAACCTGAGAAGGTTCTCAAGTATATGGGTTTGGCTTGGGAGCTGGTGTGCCAAGGCCTCCTTACGGGAGTTGCAGGTAGTGGCGGGGGGTCTGGTGTATATCACTATGTTTCGAAGACCCCTCCTGTGTGCCTTGAATGAGATATGGCGGCATATGGAGCACCTCAAAGGTTTCCCCCCGGTGGTGAAGTTGGCTATACCCCGGGCGGTGAAATTGGAGTTGGTCCGGTTCGTGGCCTTATTGCCTCTTGCGCAGATGGACTTCAGATTGGGCATGTACCCCCAAGTCACAGCGTCGGATGCGTCCACAACAGGTGGAGGCATTAGCTGCTCTACTGGCCTCACGGCCTATGGGCTGGCAGCGCAGGGGGCTCTGATGCGGGGTGAGTTTTCTGAGCCGCTGGACACTGTGGAGGTCCTCACGGTGGGTTTGTTTGATGGTATTGGAGCTCTGAGGGTGGCGGCGGATGTGCTGCAGCTACCCGTGGCTGGGCACATTAGTGTGGAGTGTAACCCCCATGCTAATCGAGTGCTTGAGAGCGCATTCCCTGGCAGCCGAACCATTGCCACAGTCCAGGACGTCACCGTGGAGGAAGTTCGTAACTGGGCTTGTGAATACTCCTCAGTGGGAGTAGTGTTGATTGGGGCGGGACCCCCGTGCCAGGCGGTGAGCGGTTTGAACGCTGACCGCCGAGGTTCTCAGCGAGACCATCGCAGCTGCCTCTACAAGGAGATCCCACGTATTCAACAGCTTGTACAAGAAGCTATGCCATGGGCCCAGGTCCATCTCTTCACTGAGAGTGTGGCCTCGATGGACGAGACAGACCGCACTATGATGTCTCAAGACCTCGGGCTGTTGCCTAACAGGGTGGACGCTGCAGGGCTTTCCTTGGCCCGCAGGCCCCGCCTGTATTGGGTTACGTGGGAGCTTCAGGAGGAGGCAGGACTGGGAATAGATGCCTATGATGGCCTGGGGTGGAGTCGAGTTCGGACTGTCCACCTCTCTGCTGAGGTAGATCAAAAGGCATTCTTGGAAGCGGGGTGGTTTATACCTCCTGGAAATCGCTTGGCCACATTCACTACCTCCCGACCTTCCGAAACACCTGGCCGCCGACCCGCTGGGCTTCACACTTGTGACCAACCCACTTTGGATCGGTGGCACGCCGATTCACATCGGTACCCTCCCTACCAGTACAAAGAGGAGTACTGCGTGCATCACAAGAATCAGCCCGTTCGCCCAGCCAGTGTGGTGGAGCGAGAAGCCATTTTGGGCTTCCCCGTCAACTACACACAACAATGTGTACGGAAGGCAGATCGTTCTACAACTTGGGCGGAGGACATTCGGAAGACCCTGTTGGGAAACTCCTGGAGTGTGGGAGTGGTAGTTTGCTTACTGAAGCAACTCTTTGAGCGTTTGGGGTTGATCACAGAGGTGAGTCTACAGGAGTTGGTGGATCGCATGACCCCTGGGCGTGCAACTCACCTCCAAATGATCTTACAGCGCCCTCCCCTTCGGCGGGAGAACCCCTTTGTGCACCCAGATGACGGTCTGGCCCGTCGCTTGACTGGACTAGTGTCCATCAAGGGAGAAGACCTTCTCCTCCAGGGGGCATCGGAGGCAATGGTGAAGCACCACAGGCTGAGAGCCAGTGCCTAGTAAATTATGGAAATGGAAGGAAGTCAGTGGATGGTGCTGGAAAAGTAAGGGCGAGCACATCAATCAGTTGGAGATGCGGGCGGTGTTAACTACGGTCAAGTACTGGGTCACCAAGCTGAAGTTGCAGGGGTGCAAAATAGTGCACCTGACGGACTCTTTAGTGGTCCTTCACTCCCTTAGTCGGGGCCGCAGCTCCAGCAGAAAATTGCGAAGAACCATCATGCGGATTAATGCCTACCTCCTGGTTGCCAACCTTCATCCGGTGTGGACCTACGTTCACACCTCCCAGAATCCTGCAGACCGACCCTCCCGTAGGGTCATGTGCCGAAAATGGGAAAAGGTCAGAAACGCCTAGAAGGTAGGAACCAGAGAGATAGGCAGCGAATCCGAAAACAGATGGGCACATTGAAAAGTCTGACTCTCCAACCTCGTACTCGTGCACGCTATGATAAAGCCAAGCAACGCTTCTATGACTTCCTTACTACCAATTCCTTGGATCTTCCCCGCCAAAAAACCCATATGGACAATCTGTTGTGTGACTACCTTGAACATCTATGGTCAACTGGCGAAGGTCGAGGCTTAGCCTCGGATACCTTAGCAGCTCTGCAGGATACTAGCCCTTCGCTGAAGGGTGCTATACCAGGAGCGTGGCGTTTATTGAAAACTTGGAATATCAATGAGATTCCTTGTCGAGCTCCCCCTCTTCCTGAGAAGGTCCTGTTATCGTTAGTTGGCTATTTTGTCTTCCACCGTGATTGTAGCATGGCCTTGTCCTTGCTAATAGGCTTTTACTCCATGCTGCGAACTGGAGAACTCCTGGGACTTCGTAACAAAGATGTTACCATTGACGCTCAACACCGCACAGCGGTGATTTCCTTAGGCCTTACGAAAGGAGGTAAAAGAGTGGGAGCTGCGGAAAGCGTCACTGTAACAGTTGCGGAAGTTATCCGTCGGTTAGCCCAATGGAAGCGGGCTACTTCTCCTGGTCCTCTCTTGATACATTCTCCTACTACATGGCGTAAATCCTTTGCCCATGCTCTCTCGGCGTTATCCTTGGATACTTGGGAGTTTCGACCTTACTCCCTCCGCCGAGGAGGGGCAACCTTTTGGTTTGGACAGCATGGATCTCTGGATCGTATCCTGCTACAGGGTAGGTGGATGGCTGCTCGTACTGCCAGAACGTACCTCAATGAAGGTCTTGCCACTTTAGCTGAAATGAATATACCGCCTAAGAATTTGAAACCGTTTCACACTGTATATGTCAATGCACTGAAATCAGCATTACCACGCTGGAAGTGAAATGCTTGAGCTTTCTCTTACGAGAAGATCAGGGGGACATGGAGGGAGACCCCCCTGTTTCCTTTTTCTCTGGTTTGTTGGTGTTTTGTTGGGTTGATGAAGGGGGATGTCACATGATGGAAAGTTGAAACATTATCAAAGAAATGCCTGGGCTTACTGGACTCGACTTGGCGAGAAAGGTAAGAGGCATAGGGACGTACTCCTCTCCCTGGGATGGCGGGGAGGGGAGTGTGTTAAGCCCAGATGACAACTTTCCAGATGGAGAATTTATCTTCTGTTTTAGTATTTTTCTGACAAATCCGGTCTTGCTGTATCAGAAAAAAGGAGCATGCAGTCTTTGACACTCCGCCCCGGGGTTAAAGACTCATCTTCTGTTTCTGATCTTAGCATTTCGGTTTAAGCTCCCTACCCTCCCTCCCAGTAACCGAAATGGCTGGGAGGGAGACCCCCCTGTTTCCTTTTTCTCTGGTTTGTTGGTGTTTTGTTGGGTTGATGAAGGGGGATGTCAAATGATGGAAAGTTGAAACATTATCAAAGAAATGCCTGGGCTTACTGGACTCGACTTGGCGAGAAAGGTAAGAGGCATAGGGACGTACTCCTCTCCCTGGGATGGCGGGGAGGGGAGTGTGTTAAGCCCAGATGACAACTTTCCAGATGGAGAATTTATCTTCTGTTTTAGTATTTTTCTGACAAATCCGGTCTTGCTGTATCAGAAAAAAGGAGCATGCAGTCTTTATATATAGTATGATATAATTATCGATATTGTAGGGGTGGCCTTAGATTCACAAGCATCCATTACAGTATCAAAATCAACGGCCGAAAACAACATCTACTGTATGAATTACTAAACGGCTGAATTGCACATATCAAGGTTAAGATGCACATAAGACTATTCACTCTATGTGTGTTTAATACCAGTAGTACCGCACAAGGCGGTGGCGGAAGTTTCAAAAATAGGAAACCTATAGGAGCGGTTGGTGGTTGTGAATCAGGGATGGCAGAGCGAAGCCACTGATGGACCGAAAGGTGCTTGAGGCCTCCTCTCTTTCTCTCTCTTTCTCTGACTATCTATCTATGTATCTATCTATGTATCTATCTATCTATCTATCTATCTATCTATCTATCTATCTATCTATCTATCTATCTATCTATCTATCTATCTATCTATCTATCTATCTATCTATCTATCTATCTATCTCTCCATCTATCGATCTATCTATCTATCTATCTATCTCTCCATCTATCGATCTATTGTAGTTGTAGTTGTAGTTGTAGTTGTAGTTGTAGTTGTTGTTGTTGTAGTAGTTGTAGCTCTAGTTTCTGTAGTTGTAGTTGTAGTTGTTGTTGTTGTTGCTGTTGTTGTTGTTGTTGCTGTTGTTGTTGTAGCTGTTGTTGTTGTAGTTCTAGTTGTAGTTGTAGTTGTTGTGTAGTTGTTGTAGTTGTAGTTGTAGTAGTAGTAGTAGTTGTTGTTGTTGTTGCTGTTGTCGTCGAAGTTAGGGTAGTTAAGTTAGTGAAGTTACTTAAGTTAGTCAAGTTAGTTAAGTTAATCAGTGTCTACTTTTTCGACATCAGCACGTCAAAAAAGGCTCAAAACCCTCAGTTTTTTACACTTTTGACTTCCAAATGTGCTTCGCGCCACAACGGCGTGCACTTGTTCGACACTTTTTCGACATCTGAACCTCCAAAAGTGGTCCGAGACCGTCAGTTTTTAACACTTTTGACTTGAAAATGTGCTTCGCGCCACAACGGCGTGCACTTTTTCGACATCTTAACTTCCAAAAGTGGTCCGAAGCTGAGGTGTTTTGTACATTTTGACTTGGAAATGTGCTTCGCGCCACAACGGCGTTCACTTTTTTGACATCTCAACTTCCAAAAGTGGTCCGAGACCGCCAGTTTTTAACACTTTTGACTTGGAAATGTGCTTCGCGCCACAACGGCGTGCACTTTTTCGACATCTCAACTTCCAAAAGTGGTCCGAACCCCTGGTGTTTTGTACATTTTGACTTGGAAACGTGCTTCGCGCCACAACGGCGTGCAATTTTTCATCTCTCATCTGGCCAGCTGGCTCCGCACCCGCCGCTTTAGCGAGCCTACTTTTCGACCCTCCGGAGCCACAAATCTTTGGAAAAACATAGTGTTTCGCGACTTTCCTACCTTTTCGCGCATCTGCATCTTCTGTCCTCTTACTCTTTCTCTTCTGACTCTTCTCACCTCTGCTTTTCAACTGTCCATATTGTCGGAAGTTTCACTTCTAAACTTCCTTCGATAAAATAAATAATTCTACCTGATCTACCTGCTAGTTTTGACACGCACAACCAGGCGAGATAGAGAATGACAGAATGTGCAGCTGGCAAAAACTTCCTATATTTCTCATTTAACTGGTTGAAGAGGCATACAGTAGTATACAGTTATATATAGTTTCTGAATCTCTTTGTCTTCATACAGGACGCCCTGGGAGTGGTCCAACAGACTTTGGAAACATCATTGCATGCTGCTTTCATAGTATGTCATGGCATCATCCTTGCAATGATCAGTGCGGAGGTTTCTGGCCTTCTGTCCAAATAGAAACCAGCAAACGGAAAAAGAAACACAATGATTGCTTTTCAGAAGACAATCAGGACTTTCGTCCGAAAAGGAAAAATAACAAATTATCGCAACTTCACACCTTCTTGTTTCGGATCACTCCATAAATGCAGGATTTTGGGTACTTAGGTACTTGTGGACATTGTACTTGTCTTTGCACACCATTCGAAACCTCAGTGTGTCTATGACTGACGCTTTGGAAGCTGCACTGCCAGTTCTTAGGCGGCGGCACAGCAAGGACACTTGTTGTTGAGCGGACGCTTCAACAATGATGAGATTCTTGCCTCAAACAGTTATTGATTGATGTGTTTTAATGTGTGGTTTTGGGGATCGGATCTGCTTTGAACAGGGGGCGACATAGTCAAGATGTCCAATGCTTCGTGGGGTTGATGACTGAGGATTATTGCGTATATGAGGGCAGTGAAGAAGGAGCTGGAAGCTCGAAACATACCGGTTTTCGTAGTTGAAGCAACCGTCGGCCAAAGTTTTGCTGACCTGACACGGATAGGATTGGCCCGTGCCAAAGGCATGGTAGCATTCTGCACCTCGGAATATGGTGCATACACTGGTGTAGGATATGAAACTTTCCATGAGCTTGAATTTGCTCATGATTACCGGTTGCCCTTGTTTCCGATTAGGCTCTGCGAGCAGTGGCCACCAGCGCCGCAGAACAACGAACGGGGCATCTATCAGAATCAATTGGTGTTCAAAAATGGCCTGGTGTACATAGATGATCGGCAGATGACTCAGGCCCAATGGGTTGCTGATCAGATCGCTGAATCGGTGGCGCACTTGGGCATTTTCGAAACAAAACCACGAGCTACTTGGCTGCACAGAACTTTTTGATCCTTCTGCCCAGCTGATGGAAATTGTATAATCCTGTCTTACGTGGGAAACAATCTTGTTGGGCATTGGTAGGCCTCTTCATATCATTGGCTTGTTTTTGCATTGCCGGTGTGTATAGTTGATTGGCCTGATATTTTAAGAAGAATTCTTGCGAGTTTGAAAGAAAAAATAATCTGCACAAAGATGTTTTTTGTTGCCTACTCTGCTGCTGGTTGCAAAGCTGGGGAAATAACAGCTGCAACATGACATTGGCACGAGGCTTGAGACAGTAGTAGCAGTAGCAAACCAAAAAAGACTACGGCAGAATGCCTTTTGCCAGGCAATGTGGGTGAGTGTTCGCATCCAGCATGAAGCCAACTTGAGAACGATGTCACCGATGTCATGATGTCGTCTGGTCCCACTGGTTGGTTAATTTAAATTAAAACATGCAAAGCAAAAATGTGAATCACAACAAATATGAATTTGCAATTTCTTCAACATTTTTTTTTTAACCGTTATTTGTTGATATTAAAAAAATCAATTTGAAGATGATGGTTTTTGCTAAGTATGCTAAGTTGTTTTTAAGTGTTTTCAAACTGAAAACTTGATAAAGTTATTATGTAAAGTAACTTTGGCATCTAAGATATAAATCACATATAAATCCAATAAGTTTGCCTCAAACCTAGCTCATTTACAAACAACCTGGATCACTTGTAACCTATAATACAACTCACTTTCAACCCGATACATCTAGGATAAGAAGCAAGGAACCACCAAGTATTAATGTCACTTAGGTTTGAAAAAGGGTTGTTGCGCCTTAGGCTTTGCTTTTTCAAATCAGGGCACTTTTGCTTCCACTTTGTCAATTCAGGTTGTACACTAAACGGTGTCCTTCCAGAAGTTTATCTTTCAACACGCCAGCAGTTCATTGGGCACTGTTTCATTCGTCCTCAAAACTGTCGAGGTTCGCTTGAAATTGAACTTCTTTGCTGATTGTTTGTATAGATGCTGGTAACAATCCCTTTTCTTGCCAGCAATACGGACATTCTATTGGCCTTTTGTGCTACCGACCGGTCCTGTTCAAGAAGCGCTGCAGACCGGCAGGTTTCACCGGAAGAACTTGAGCGTTTGCGGAAACTGGCTGTGGAAAAGCAGAAAGAAGGAGCAGCCCCGTTGCCGGTGGTGCGCCTTTGCTTCGTCGGTCGAGGTCGCGCAGGGAAGACGACAACTCTAAGGCAGGCGCATGAAAGACGTAGATAAATCGTGACTCATGGTGCTGGCTGTTTTGGGGGGTAGCGCCAAGACCCGCTTTTGAGGCGGCTGAAAGGTGAACCATTTCGAGATGAAGAGCCATCCACCCATGGTCTAGATGTTTGGGCCGGCCAAGCTGAAGCCCATCTACAAGCAGACGGAAGCGCAGCTGGCCCGTGGAAGGAATGGAAGGAATCCATGCACCATACTGCTGTCAAGGACGTGTTTGCATGTGCACTTCACTTGGTCACTCAGCGAATCCAAAGTTGTTCATGTCCCATATGGCAAGCAACCCTTTCGTGGTTTTCAGAATCGTTCGCAACAACAATTCCAAGCAGGCAACCAGATCACATGATTCTGTGAGTTCTTCGCTTGCAGATTGATTTGTATCAAAATCTTTGTCTGGGGTTGGGCAATCGCAGCCTTCAATGCCCACTTGAAAACTGGTCGAATCCCTTTTGTGATTTGGAACTCGCCGTTTTGAGAGAAAAGAGGTAGAAGAGGTAGATTGACACCCCAGAAAATCTATGAAGGTCTAAACAGTCTAAACGCTCACAGTTTAAAGTTTCGCAGCTATTTCCCCACATGCATCCCTGTGCCAAATAGTAGACAAGCGGAATGGGCCTGCATCAAACTCATTCGTATTTGTGCATGCGGCTCCATGTAGAAAGTAATTCCGTCACACGCCCCGTGGAAATAAACCATACAAAAGGTTTTGCAGCCGATAGGGGGTTAGTGTCCCTTGGATGTTTCAATATATTGTTAATTCTTATCCGCCATTCGGTAATCATGCCAAGATGGGGATTGATAATTAGTGTCTCCATCCATTTACCCTTCTATTCGTGGAAGTGCTCCATCCATTTACCCTTCTATTCGTGGAAGTGCCAGTCAGAACAAACGATCACCATTCGATCGTAGTTCAAATAGGTTTTTTTGGGCTGGGTACTTTGATAAAATATTAAATATTTTATATATATATATATATCAATATATGCAGCAGATAGGGGGTCTTTGGAATTTGATTCTAGGGTCCTTGGTGATTTAGTTCTACCTCTGATTGTGTGATATATGTTTTCCATTATTTATTTCTTTATCTATTTTATCTATCAAGGTAGGTGGCCTTGGTATATACTAATGAAAATGATCCCAAAGGAAAAATCGTCTTGGGTTAGTGTCCCTTGGATGTTTCAATATATTGTTAATTCTTATCCGCCATTCGGTAATCATGCCAAGATGGGGATTGATAATTAGTGTCTCCATCCATTTACCGTTCTATTTGTGGAAGTGCCAGTCAGAACAAACGATCACCATTCGATCGTAGTTCAAATAGTTTTTTTTGGGTTGGGTACTTTGATAAAATATATAATATCTATATATTATATATATATATATATCTCTATATATATATATATATCAATATATGCAGCCGATAGGGGGTCTTTGGAATTTGATTCTAGGGTCCTTGGTGATTTAGTTCTACCTCTGATTGTGTGATATATGTTTTCTTTTTTTCTTTACCTATCTTATCTATCAAGGTAGGTGGCCTTGGTATATACTAATGAAAATGATCCCAAAGGAAAGATCGTCTTGGGTTAGTGTCCCTTGGATGTTTCAATATATTGTTAATTCTTATCCGCCATTCGGCAATCATGCCAAGATGGGGATTGATAATTAGTGTCTCCATCCATTTACCCTTCTATTCGTGGAAGTGCCAGTCAGAACAAACGATCACCATTCGATCGTAGTTCAAATAGTTTTTTTTTGGTTGGGTACTTTGATAAAACATTTTATTTATATATATACATATATATATATATATCAATATATGCAGCAGATAGGGGGTCTTTGGAATTTGATTCTAGGGTCCTTGGTGATTTAGTTCTACCTCTGATTGTGTGAGATATGTTTTCCATTATTTATTTCTTTATCTATCTTATCTATCAAGTAGGTGGCCTTGGTATATACTAGTGAAAATGATCCCAAAGGAAAGATCGTCTTGGGCTAGTGTCCCTTGGATGTTTCAATATGTTGTTACTTCTTATCCGCCATTCGGCAATCATGCCAAGATGGGGGTTGAGAATTAGTGTCTCCATCCATTTACCCTTCTATTCGTGGAAGTGCCAGTCAGAACAAACGATCACCATTCGATCGTAGTTCAAATAGTTTTTTTTGGGTTGGGTACTTTGATAAAATATAAATATATTATATATATATATATCAATATATGCAGCCGATAGGGGGTCTTTGGAATTTGATTCTAGGGTCTTTGGTGATTTAGTTCTACCTCTGATTGTGTGATATATGTTTTCCATTATTTATTTCTTTATCTATCTTATCTATCAAGGTAGGTGGCCTTGGTATATACTAGCGAAAATGATCCCAAAGGAAAGATCGTCTTGGGTTAGTGTCCCTTGGATGTTTCAATATTATTAATTCTTATCCGTCAGTCGGTAGTCATGCCAAGATGGGGATTGATAATTAGTCTCTCCATCCATTTACCCTTCTATTCGTGGAAGTGCCAATCAGAACAAACGATCACCATTCGATCGTAGTTCAGATAGTTTTTTTTTGGGTTGGGTACTTCGATAAAAATTAAAATAAAATATTGTTATGCGACGGATTTGTGGTTGCGATGGATACGGGGTCCCCCAAGCCAAAAGATCGTTTTTTTTTCCTAAATCTCAAAATCAAGGACCCCGAATCCATTGCGGCAAAAATCATGGTAGAATATAATAGTAGGATTGTTTCCCAAGTCCACATGCAAATTTCTGCACCCTGAGAGCGGCATTTTTTTTTCCTAAATCCCAGGGTACAACCTCTGTATTGCCTAAGTCTAGGTGCAGATTTTTGCGACCTTACTTAGGCAATACCCCACCAAGCACCTAGGATATCGGCAATTTTTTTTCCTAACTCAGCGTGCAGATTTCTGCGCCCTGAGTTCGGCAAATTAGCTGTTGGACACTGCATTTAAAGGATATATGATGTAGACGTAGAAATAATGGGGGAAATTTAGTACTTGAAAAAAAATAATGATCATCAGGGATAACATTGGTGGCTTTATACCAAAGGTATATGGGTGTACCACCCTAGAAAAAACAAGAGCGTGGTTGATACCTTTTCCATTTTGATCCAGCAATTGGTTGGGTACCCTTCAGAAATGGTAGTCGGCCCCAGTTAATCCAAGGAATATAATAAAATAAAATAACCGTAACCGATACTGGGATGATATCAATTTAGCCAACCAAGTGGTTGCCTAAGAGTGAACATAATAATGCACATCTAATTATCTATGAGCATGGTAAAAAAACAAATAGTTACATTAAACAACCAATGGTAAGATGATACATACCCATTTAATCAACCAATTGGTTACCTCATAGGGGAAATAATAAGGTACCTATAATACAATTCAATTCCATCATATATAAAATATTTGGAAAGACCCAAGAATCCATTTCCAGAGAACCCAGATCAATTGCAAAACATAGATATAATATATTTTAAATTTTATCGAAGTACCCAACCCAAAAAAAACTATCTGAACTACGATCGAATGGTGATCGTTTGTTCTGACTGGCACTTCCACGAGTAGAAGGGTAAATGGATGGAGACACTAATTATCAATCCCCATCTTGGCATGACTACCGACTGACGGATAAGAATTAATAATATTGAAACATCCAAGGGACACTAACCCAAGACGATCTTTCCTTTGGGATCATTTTCGCTAGTATATACCAAGGCCACCTACCTTGATAGATAAGATAGATAAAGAAATAAATAATGGAAAACATATATCACACAATCAGAGGTAGAACTAAATCACCAAGGACCCTAGAATCAAATTCCAAAGACCCCCTATCGGCTGCAAAACCTTACAAGCCATAGTTAAACCTAGATTAGACACGCGCAGAGTAGGACTGACGTGTGCGCAGTTTAGAAGCAGCTGTAGACACAGCAGGTTTTGATTCGATAGGGTTTGATTAAGTTTCAAACCGATATGTTGCCACAGCTTCCTCATGTTTCTTTCATGTTGCGAGGATGCTCTTCGGAAGGCACCAGAGGCCGATGTGGAGAATCCGGGGACCGCATACTCTCGTGCAGCGGCGCATGTCAAGCAAAAGAATGATGCCGCTCAAAAGAATGATGCCGCTCAAAAGAATGATGCCGCTCAAAAGAATGACGCCGCTCAAAAGAATGATGCCGCTCAAAAGAATGATGCTGCTCAAAAGAACGATGCCGCTCCGCTCCTTCCACCAGCGACGTGCGGGCCTATGATCATGGATGAGGGTACTCTTTCCAACATCCTTTCCAGCAAGAAACGGGAAAAAGACGGCGTAGAGGCGAGATTGCAGTGCTGGGATTTCCCAGGACAAGAAGAATACGCACAGCTGAACCAAATATTTTTTTCCGAGAGGGCAATCTACCTAGTGTTTTTCGACATGACTGGGAAGATGGATGAGGAATGGCGCCATATATGTTTCTGGCTATGGGCCATCGGGATGTTTTCAAAGAAGAAGAACGCAAAACCGCCTATTCTTCTTGTTGGGACTAAAGCTGGGGAACCACAGAAACTTGATGAGTTAGAACTGCAGAAGCGCCTTGAGGATCTGCAGGAAAAAGTCCCCGGGTTAAAGGAACAGCTCCAGCTACATCCGAATGGTTTGCGTAACAGAAACTGTTTCTGGCTATTCCCCATCGGAAACAAAGGAACCAGTTCTGAGGAATTCATCCGCCCCTTGCGCCGGCACCTGCAACACATGGTGTTGCAATTTGTCACTCCACGTGACAGTTTGGAGGCCGATGATGGTGCCGTACCAGGATTGGTGGGAATGCAGGAAAAGCTGTACCCGTTGGCCTGGTTACAAGCCCATGATCTGCTGACTCGCCTTGGATCCGGCTTCAGGCTGTTTGGAACTTTGTTTTGTTGCGTTGAAGAAGTTGAATTGTGGAATTTGTGGACTGGTAAAGTGGTCGAAAGATTCAGAAACTGCGATTCAGAAACTATACGATTCAGAAACTATCACAATTCAGAAACTATCGCGATTCAGAAACTATCGAGCTTCAGAAACTACGGACAAGATGATATCAAAATTCCCACCCCCATGGAACTTCAAATTGACTTGGGCTGTCCACAAGGATAAGATGATATCAAAATTCCCACCCCCATGGAACTTCAAATTGACTTGGGCTGTCCACAAGGATAAGATGATATCAAAATTCCCACCCCCATGGAACTTCAAATTGATTTGGGCTGTCCACGAGGATCAGATGATATCAAAATTCCCACCCCCATGGAACTTCAAATTGACTCGGACTGTCCACTGGGATAAGATGATATCAAAATTCTCACCCCCATGGAACTTCAAATTGACTTGGACTGTCCACTGGGATAAGATGATATCAAAATTCCCACCTCCATGAAACTTCAATTTGACTTGGACTGTCCACAAGGATACGATGATATCAAAATTCTCACCCCCATGGAACTTCAAATTGACTTGGACTGTCCACAAGGATAAGATGATATCAAAGTTCCCACCACCATGGAACTTCAATTTGACTTGGACTGTCCACAAGGATAAGACTTCAAATTGACTTGGGCTGTCCACGAGGATGATGATATCAAAATTCCCACCCCCATGGAACTTCAATTTGACTTGGACTGTCCACAAGGATAAGATGATATCAAAATTCCCCCCCATGGAACTTCAAATTGACTTGGACTGTCCACAAGGATAAGATGATATCAAAATTCCCACCCCCATGGAACATCAAATTGACTTGGACTGTCCACAAGGATAAGATGATATCAAAATTCCCACCCCCATGGAACTTCAAATCGACTTGGACGGCCCACAAGGATAAGATGATATCAAAATTCCCACCCCCATGGAACATCAAATTGACTTGGACTGTCCACAAGGATAAGATGATATCAAAATTCCCACCCCCATGGAACTTCAAATCGACTTGGACGGCCCACAAGGATAAGATGATATCAAAATTCCCACCCCCATGGAACATCAAATTGACTTGGACTGTCCACAAGGATAAGATGATATCAAAATTCCCACCCCCATGGAACTTCAAATTGACTTGGGCTGTCCACAAGGATAAGATAATATCGAAATTCCCACCCCTATGGAGCTTCAATTTGACTTGTACTGTCCACAAGGAAGAGACGATGTCTAAATTCCCACCCCCATGGAACGTCCATGCCCACAAGGATAAGATGATATCAAAATTCCCACCCTCGCCTCATGCAACTTCAAATTGACTTGGACCGTTCACGAGGATCAGATGATATCAAAAATTAATACCCCCATGGAACTTCAATTTGAGTTGGACTGTCCACAAGGAAAAGATGATATCAAAATTCCCCCCCATGGAACTTCAATTTGATTTGGACTGTCCACAAGGAAAAGATGATATCAAAATTCCCACCCCCATGGAACGTCCATGTCCACAAGGATAAGATGATATCAAAATTCCCACCCCCATGGAACTTCAATTTGATTTGGACTGTCCACAAGGAAAAGATGATGTCTGAATTCCCACCCCCATGGAACGTCCATGTCCACAAGGATAAGATGATATCAAAATTCCCACCCCATGGAACTTCAAATTGACTTGGACCGTCCACGAGGATCAGATGATATCAAAGTTCCCACCCCCATGGAACTTCAAATTGGCTTGAACTGTCCACAAGGATAAGATGATATCAAAATTCCCACCCCCATGGAACATCAAATTGACTTGGACTGTCCACAAGGATAAGATGATATCAAAATTCCCACCCCCATGGAACTTTAAATTGACTTGGACTGTCCACAAGGATAAGATGATATCAAAATTGCCACCCCCATGGAACATCAAATTGACTTGGACTCTCCACAAGGATAAGATGATATCAAAATTCCCACCCTCATGGAACTTCAAATTGACTTGGACCGTCCACGAGGATCAGATGATATCAAAATTGCCACCCCCATGGAACTTCAAATTGACATGGACTGTCCACGAGGAGGAGATGATATCAAAATTCCCACCCCCATGGAACTTCAATTTGGCTTGGACTTTCCACAAGGATAAGATGATATCAAAATTCCCACCCCCATAGAATTTCAATTTGAGTTGGACTGTCCACAAGTATAAGATGATATCAAAATTCCCACCCCCATGGAACTTCAATTTGACTTGGACTGTCCACAAGGATAAGATGATATCAAAATTCTCACCCCCATGGAACTTCAAATTGGCTCGGACTGTCCAGGAGGATCAGACGATATCAAAATTCCTACCCCGATGGAACTTCAAATTGACTTGTGCAGTCCATTGACTTGCACAATTAGTTTCCGAATCTGCGGTTTTAGTTTCCGAATCCGCGCTTGTATTTTCCGAATCTTAGTTTCCGAACCCGCGCTTTTAGTTTCCGAATCTGGGTGCGTGTTAGTTTCCAAATCCGCGGTCTTAGTTTCCCAATCCGCGCTTTTAGTTTCCGAATCTTAGTTTCTGAATCCGCGCTTTCAGTTTCCGAATCTTGGTTTCCGAATCCGCGTGTCTGTTAGTTTCCGAATCTGCGGCTGTAGTTTCCGAATCCGTGGTCCTCCTCAGTTTCCGAATCCTCTGTTTTTAGTTTCCGAATCTTAGTTTCCGAATCCGTGTCTGTTAGTTTCCGAATCTTAGTTTCCGAATCCGCGGTTTTAGTTTCCGAATCTTAGTTTCCGAATCCGCGTGCCCGCGCGAGTTTCCGAATCCGCGGTTTTAGTTTCCGAATCCGCGCGTGACCAAGGTAAAGTCATGGCAACATGCAGGAATGAACTTGTGTGAGTTCACCATCCGTGCCATGCATTCTCCGTATCCCGTCAGGGCCACAGCTCCGATGGTTGAAGTTGAGAAGGTTGCGCCAGATGCGGAACTCAAATCAGGGCGCAATCTTGAGATTGCGTCGAATCTGCGGGTAACCCTCTCAGACAAGAGTTGGCTGATTGTGCCAAGGGGATCTTCCATCAAAATTGAAAACGAGGCTGGCGTGGGTGCCAACGGCATCGAGATGAACTTCCACGTCTCCTGTGACTTTCTGCAGCTGGAAGTAGTTCAACAGCTTCTCAAGGGCATGCAGCCTACAGGCTTGTCCAACAACGACGCCGAGACAGTTTTGAGGTTGCTTAACCTGTTAGGCACTTTAGTGTGGATGGACCAGCCCGAGCTTCGAAACCTTGTGCTGCTAAATCCACGCCGAGTTGCAGTTGCAATGGCATCATTGATGACCATTTGCTTTGGCCAGGAGAACTTTGAACACAGAGATATGATGATGATTGAGCGCAAAATCACTGAACATCGTAGTGATCTTCTTCGGTTCCAGTCAACAGGGATCGCAACGCGCAAGTTGATCAGAGGACTTTGGAAAGAGGACCCCAGGGTCCAAATGCTTTCAAACCTTGTGTCCTGTGTTGCACAATGGTCAACATAAATTGGGAAACCGCCGCAAGTTACAGTAGTAAACAGGCAGGGTAATCCTCGAGGGAAACAAAGAGAAGGCTAAAGGCAAGATAAGTTCATGCCCTAAGAGCCTGTGCACGGATTTTGGTCAGCTTGTTGGGAAATCAGCTCGGTGTGGGATCAAGATATGTACAGTAGAGATACTCTAGCAGGAAATCTCAAAGCCTATAGCCTATGGGTCCTATGGGGGCTATTTTGGCTTAGTCCAACCACCTCCAAAAGGCCCTATGCTGCTGTCAACACACTAGCAGCATCCCGTTGTCCTTTACTCAAGCACTGCTAGAGGGCCAGAAACCGGCCACCTGAGGATAAAAAAGGCCTTGCCATAGAATTTAGGTGCGTAGTTCTTTTCATGTAGAAGTTTGTTCCATTTGATTCCTTCACACCTGCCTGAGATAGCATTATCGATGCCGTTTTTGGACTTCCTGTTCGCAAAGCTCCAGCAAAGCTTTGGTGAACGGCGGGTAGGATAGGCGCAAGTTTGCGCAGGTGTGTATAGGACTCGTGTGAGTTGGAGTCTAGTGGTTGGTGTTGTGCTCATGGCGTCAGAGCCAGTTGCGGTAACTTGATGGCGTTTCATTTTGCCCGCAAGTTTCGCGCGTTGCAGTGTTTGTGTCCAATTGTTTTCTTCCTTTAATTTTACTTTGGAACATGGTGAGTTGTGCAACGTGTGTTGAGCTGGAGGGATTTGTGCCTGCAATCGCAAGGAGTTTCCTGAGGAGAGCCAGCAAGAGCTAATACGGCAGATCTTGCTGGAAAAGCACCTGATGTTCGAGCGACTTGTTCAGGATGAGTTCGTTCTTCCAAGTTGTTTGCCCATTGCGCACAGCGCAGAAGAGGTCTTAAGAGAGGCAGGCAAAGTCTTCTACGTGGATGTCGGTGGTCTTTTGTCCCCCAATTTCTTCCCGGCGTTGGCGCAGAAGATGTACAGTTGCCAGATCACAAACGACTCTGAAAGCACATGGAAACCAGGACCGCCCCAAGTTTTCCGGAATCGCGGGCACTTTCATGCAGGCACCTGTTCAGTGTCAATATCTCTATTCCCCGTCAGTCTGTGCAGAAGCTCCAAGAGTCTTTTGCGAATCGTTGTTCAGGGAGGCAACGAACTGAAATACGAAGAAGTTGCCCAAAAGGTGAAACATTTGCTAGAAAATGACATTTTCGGCTTCAATCCTGGATATGAAACAGATCCTGCCTCCATTTTTCAGTTGAAAGCTATCCCAATTACTTCAACCCTTTGCATGAATGTGGGATGTAAGCAAACATGCTCTCTCTGCAGACTCCGGGCCTTATTGGAAGAGCGTTTCCTACCCGACTTGGACAGTGCCCTCCGCTCTGTTGTGCAAAGCGCTGCCATTTTTGGAAGGCACACACGACCTGCGGGCAGCTTCCGTTTCAAGGCTATGAAATATCCTGGTGATGTTGACCTGGAAGAGTATTTGGCCATAGATGCCAACAGTCGAGATGAGGCGCTGACAGAACTTTGCAGGACCATTCAGACCCAATATGGGAATACCGAATATGGGAATATCGCTGGGGCAGGTGGTGTGGAAGTGTTTTTCGGTGGATTCAAAGCAGGTTTTGAGCCCGCGTCTGAATGTAGCGGTGCAAAAAAAGAATACCTGAGTTGGACGCAACAAGACATTTCGTGCTCGTCAACAGAAGCTTTGAAAAAAGCTTTGGGAGAAGGTCATCATACTTGGACTGCCAAGCTTGACTTGTTTGCAAAAGTGAAACTTTTTGAGGATTCCAAAGAGACACGTCGCTATTTTGAGGTTACCAATGTCCTGCGAGCTGGTTGGTTCAAAGGGGCTCAACCTATCCAGCCGATCAGCGACGAGAAGGATTTTTTGCAGTCAGTTGAGAAGAATTTGGAGAAGTTTTCAGGTGAGGAACCCAATGCAATGAAGTACGTCAAGCGCCTTTGGGAGAGAAGTGCCTATTTAGCGGAGCGAGGATTTGACTTGGAGTGGAACTTGAGCATTTTGGAGGCTCTCCGCCCGCTGCTTGGTCACTGGGTCGCTGAACTCAATCAAGTTGCGGCGCATGTCGAGACCATCATCAATATGATGCAGTCTTCCCACGAGTTGTTTGAACATGCACGTGCCGACCTGCCCATACTTCGCCGCACAGCAGCAAGAGTTGTTTGCCCATAAGGTAATAATGTATGATAAAGTGTTTGTTGTTTCCCCTTTTGTCGAAGACGATGTAATTTTGCATTCTGATGCATTCTTGACAATGTGCAGTGGATCGTTGCTTGATGTTTTAGAGGTCAGAACTTGAGCAGATTGAAGTCTCGGCTTCACAACATTGATGAGTCAGAGAAGCAGGCTGCAGAAGATGGGCGCGACAGCATTGCAAAAGCAATGGAGTACATCCCGGAGCTGCTACCAGAATCGCCACCAGAAGCTCCGAAAGAGAAAGACATGTTACGTACAGTCCTGCATAAAGCACAGCTGTTGTTGGAAAGCTGCGTTGAGACTGTCTTGATCGGAAAATTGGGTTCTTTCGAAGTTCCAGTGGCCAAACCACTCGGCAAGCTCTGGACGTTTCCATCAGACCACCCTCCCATTGCAGCTATGCTCAAACTCGGTGAGAACTCCATCAAGGTTGCTTCCTGGAATGTTCTGAACCGGAACTATTATAAATACATAGATAAAGACACGCAAGGACTCAAAGGCTCGGAAATAACAATGCAGCATGAAGCTGGTACAAGAGAGAGCAAGATCATTGAGAAGATCGAAGAGATGCTACAGAACGATTTCCGAATATTGTGCTTGCAAGAATGCTGGCCCGAGTTGCTTCAGCAACTGAGAGAAGCTTTGGAGGAAAGACAACCTGAAGTTCAGATGCGCTGCAGCGGAGAAGACAAGAACCAAGAGGCAATACTTTGCATGTATTAGGACATCTGGTTTTCCATATCCAACATCCAACAGAAAATCGCAGCATGTTGCCTCATAGCTCTGGCAATTGTTGGACTCAACATCTGTATCCTCCCCTTGCAGGCGATCCTTTTCCATTCCGACCATGTTTACTTCCGGGAATGTATTCATTTTCATCGCGCCTTCAGAGAGAATTCCAAGAAGGCGGGTTTCTTGCTTGAAGCTGGTACTATACACTTAGCCGCCGGTGTAGGCAAGGTTTTGTTTCTTTCTTCTTTTGCCAGTGCAGGTGGTGACTGAGGCCCATTTCCAACATGCTGGGATGGGCCTTTTGCGTGTTGTGACAACGTGCTTTGGCTGCACCTCTTTCCAAGAGGGTGCGTGAAACCGCTCAATGTGAACTGCACACTCAACACCCCTTCGCCAAGGCATCTACCCGGCGCTCCTTTTGGGCGCGCTCGCAAAGAATTTGCCGATTGCATAGCTGGGATTGTCAAGGGCGAGAAGCTGCCAACTGTACTGCTGGCAGATCTGAACTTTCCCGAAAAGGCCTTCTAAGGAAAGGGTGTGAGCGGCACGAGTGACAGGATGTGACAGCAAGCCCCAAGACCCTTGAAATCCCTTGAAGTATGCTTAAATTGTCAACAGCGTATGACAAGCATTCTGTGTCCTTCAACTTTTGCTTTAGGATTGAATCGCTGCAGAACAGCCATTGCTGCAGATAGCACAGTACCTCCACGTGGCAGGCCATACAACCTCTTTTGCTTGATCATGACCTTGACGTATCCTTCGTCCGGACACCTTACCCAACGAACATTTGCCAGGCCTGGCAGTCAAGAGTCGAGTGAATATTGAGCAAGCATATGGGCTCCCGATTTTGATAGTGATGAGGACTTCTTTAACAAACCTTAGTGGCGCCGGGAGCTAGTAAGATGGCGTTTATAGGTTGCATGCAGACAACAGGAAACTATACCCAGAAGTGCTTGCACGGACGTTCAACCATTCTCTTTATTCCGCACTCAAATCTGTGGATCCGGTGCCGTTGAGCCGCTCCAGTCTCTCACCACTGGCTGGTGTTTGATAATGTGCTTTGAATGCCTGCCTTTGCCCCCAGGGGTCCTTGCTGCCGAAGAGGATTGATAGCATTGCAGTCATCAACCACGAGGCAGGGGCTTTCCAAGATGCCGTGCATGGACTTGCACCTTACATGGTCTCACCACGTGGTTAAGGTCAAAGGCGCAAAGCTCCAAGCCACAGCTCTGAAAGCTGAAGACGTCCTCGATGGTCTCAGAGAAGTTGTGGACCTCTTGAAATCCAGGCCCATGCTTTGATGTTGCCTCAAACTTGTGCTGCGGGCTGGCTGTTGCCATATTGCAGATGGCTGATCTTAAGTTCAAAATGATTGGTGGCTAGCTTTGGTCTGTCCCATCCACAGCATCCGAACATATACGAACATCCTACTCTACAAATCCAACAAGTCCAACAAGTCCATGCAGCAGGGGAGTTGCAATGCGCTGTCATTTGCCCCGCAGTTGCCTTTGCTGTCACCGTTTGTCGCCAATTGTTGTATAGGTCAGCAGAGCCATGGACGCCAACGCGATACCAATCAGATAAGGCCGGTCTGCAGGAGTTTGAGGAATGGGGGGCGAACATCTCGACGGGTGGCTCAAAAAAAATCGGAATTGGTAGTGGAAATTGTAGAAACTGGTATGAAACTAAGTTCAAATCAAAGCAAACGTATACTGTAACGTGATGGAACGAAGGTTAGCATTGAGTGAGAAAAATGACTTAAACAGCAAAATAATTTCACAAAAGGACATAAAATCATGTCAAGCAGAATAGGCGGGCTTTAGTTGTTAAATCATAGTCGCGGAATCATGACTGTAAACAGAGGATAAGGTGTGCATATGGGTATTTATCATGGTCAAAGCTTCGTCTGTGTCAGCAGCAGCAGAAAATCATTGAACTATAAGCTGCAAATAAACCAACAGGAGAAACTTCCTTCTTTCGACATGAAATCTGCTCAGGGATGCATCTGTTGATTTCCCAGTTTCAGTGAATATATGTTTTTATTTTTTTTTGTAGTAATGTCATTGTAGATCCGTTGTGAAATTGGGAAATATGATTTCGCGCATGAACCCATAGTGTGAGAAACCGAAGCATGCACGAACCTGGTTTTCTATGGTTTTCTAATGTTTTCTAAAGGATGGAAAATATCCAAAAAATGTATTGCCGAACAGGTGGTACCATCTACGGCCGCATCAAAAGCTGCTGAATCTCCAGAAATAGCCACCGCTCCGACCTCAGTGTTGCTTGTGGTTTGTTCGAGGCTAGAAGGAAGTTTAGACCCGGCTATCCTCTCCTGCAGTCGCCATGGAAATGGCCGGTGACCAATGACGTTTGGATTTAGATATGTTGGATTGGGATAGTTTTTGGTGCTGCTACAGTAGAGTCAGTAGAGCTACATATAAATGTAGGCTGTAGACTCAGGAGGAAGCTGCGCTTGTTATGGGAACATGAAGCAGCCAAATCTTCACGGGAACCATCCCGAACCCATCTAAATTCCTTCAAGGCCAAACTGTGACATACTGTGACCATGATTCCCCACAAATTGGAGGTGGGTCCATCTGCTGCATCAAGTTCAGCCGGCTTGGCTGTTGCGGACTCAGACTCTCAAACCTGTTGCATCTCGAGGGTTCGTCACTGGTGATGGTGGCCACGTTTTACCATGGCCCACAATGCATGGGACCAGTATATTTTTTCTCCTGGTACAAATGATGAGTGGATGACTATTGGATGGAATGTAGATGGATGATCTAACCAAAAACTCGGGGGTCATAGTTTAAAGACTTGTGGCTTAAAACAACACTTTCATTCATCACTTTGACTTAATGATGCACCATGCAGTGGGCAGTGTCGCAGACGCCCATTGGCACCTTGTTTGACAATGCCACAGTACGGCGTTATTCGCAAATATGACTCATTGTCAACAAACCCCTAGTGAGTGACAAACTCTTCAGACAACTTGTCATTGGTACTGCGCAGTCACTTTTTTCAAGCCTGCTGTTGTTGAAATCGCTGATTCCCAGGCACCAGCATCACAGCCTGAAGGGCATTTGTTTCTCAGTGGCTGCTTCGAAAGTGACCACATTTTTACTGCCGAGCAGATTCTCAACTTAGATTTTGGACAAATCGCGAGTCAGACTCGAGGTTTTTTCGTCTGCGTTCTCTCAGAATTTCTCACCCCAGAACACATTTTCTGGATGTTGGTTTTGAATCTCCACTTCCACTGGCATGAAGTTGAGTGCCTCAACATATATCCAAGGATCATGGGCTACATGAGGATGGTGAGAGCCCGGCTGGTGGCTCGTGGCGTGCCAACCTTCATGGTTGAGGCAAGGCCTGGCCAAAGTTTTGCTGAGCCTTCGCGCCAGGGTTTGCTCCGTGCCAAAGGCATGGTGGCTTTTTGCACCGCAGAATACGGAGCGTACACAGGAGTTGGATATGATACGTTTCATGAGCTGGAATTCGCTCACGACACAAGGTTACCTCTCTTTCCAATTAGACTGTGTGAAGCGTGGCCGCCAGCGCCAACTGACAATGAAAGAGGGACCTGGCAGAACAAATTCGTGTTCAAAACAGGTCTCGTGTACATAGACGATCAGCGGATGGAGAACGCTGAAGGCGCCGCTGATCAGATTGCAGATTCTGTCTCACGCTTAGGACTCTTCTCAGATTAGAGCAAAAAGTAAAGATTGACAAGCAGCGCTTGAAAAGCAGTATCTTCGCATGCCAGATGCACATTGCACATACAGCGTCTTAATTTGTGGCCAAAATTGGAAACATGATTCTTTTGAAATGCAATGACAGTTTCCATTTTAAACCAAGAGACGGCCAAACTACACAGCACAGCTAAGTCATGTTTGGATTTCTTTCTTCGTGGCAACCGGAGGTCATTTTTTGGCATAGTGATGCAGTGATAGCACCCATTCTCTGTATCTAAGTCCATGTTGATTGCCACTCTCAGCTTAGGGCTTCGGACCCTCCTGAGTATTCTTGTATGTAAATTGCTTATCCCATTTTGGATGGTTTTGCTGCCAAGATCGGAATCCACCTGGAGCGATGATAGCGGTGGCAGGTTGTCCCATGGTTGATAAGTAAAAAAATCAACGGCTGCAAAGGGCAGGAAAACAAATCTATAAGTCCATTAAAGAAAAATGTCTCGGTTGTTTCATGTTGTTGCTGGTCTGGTTGGTTTCAAGATTGGTAGATGCCCCCAAATGGGCCAAGGTAGATGTCCCCACTTAATTTCATATTTCATGCCCGTTTTGCAATCCCCGGGGACAAAGCATTGGTTGACGTGGAAACTGCACTATGTCCGGAGGGCATACCACTTTGAAAGTGCCGGTAGAAATTGTTAGAAACTGCACACCACTGACCGGACTGAGCCTCCCAAAAGTGATGCTAGATTGATTTCAATTGCTATCTTGGGATTGGATTGTTTTCTTCATTGTTTTCACTTTGTTCTCCATCAATATTGATTTTACTTGGGACGGTCGGTTCTCGCTTCCCGTTTGATTTTCACCATCCAAGGCTTGCTGATGCGGAACCTGCGTGAGGAAACACAGGCAGCTGGGACCCGGCTTGCGAGCAGTTTCCAAACCTAGTGGAGTGGTTTTGCTCAGCTTATCCTCATCCCTATCAGCCCCATATCAGCCCTATCTTCCAATTTGGTTGATCCACATAGATCCGCTGCGGTGGACTTTTCATGCTTCAGATATCTTCGGATAGTTTTTTCAAGTTGGTAATGTAGTGGAATGTAGTGGAACACCAGTCAAAACGGGGGCCGCTCACCCACGTGGATGCCCTGCAAGGCTGACATACCAGCGTTGCCATTCTGAACTTGATCAAGTTTACAGGCGAGTAACCGATGGTTGGCGTGCGTCATATGTGGACATATTGGATGGTGGAGTGGGAGAAAATTCCCATAAGGGCGAAGCAGATGCTTCAGATATCATCAATACCTGCGCCGGCTGAATGCTAGCGACGTGGGCACACTCTTACTGTTGAAAGCCAGTACAAACCACAGCAAAGTGCAATGTGAATGTATGGTTTGAGATTGTTTCCCCTTCCAAAAACAATACCTTTTCCATCCTTTTCCTGGCAGATCTGACCCTTCAACCTCAGCTCACTCGCAAGGCCAGTACCAAGAGCGCCCTGCTGTCTGCAGTTTGACGATCGGAAAAAGATGCGGACGGTTGGTCAGTGAAGTTGTTGTCCAGAACCTGGAAGATATCCCCAGTTATATCTCACTCGGTTGTGGGCATTAATGATCTGGTCAAGCACTAACGTTGCATGATTCTATGGCTGCGGTGGAAACATCAGCACGAAGAGCAGCGGGCAAGCTTTCTGGATGCTTCCAAGCATATGCAGGTAGATTTTTCATGTTTGATGACGTTGGTGATGATGATGAAGAAGATGAAGTGGTCTTGCCCCTTTTCTCAAGGTTCATCCCTTCCTGTGTTCATTCAGAAGCGACGTGCTGTATCGATAGTTTCACTAAAGACTGGCACTCCGATGATACACACATGCGGATTTTAATCCAAAACGGTCAGAAAAAGATGGAAACGCATTCAGTACTACTATGTGCTACTATGTGCTACTTAAGCATGTCATCGATTTTGTGAAAACAACGTGGAAACAAGGCTTCAAACCAATCCCCAGAACTTCCGAGGCAAACAAGAATGGTAGAAAACTTCAACACAATGCGACATAATGAACTAGGCACTGAGTCTGGAAGGTCGTTTGGAACACCACGAAGTGTAAACTTACAGGATCTGATGTTTCAGAGTTGTCCCTTTAGCACTGGGCCTTGGCAAAACAGTCACTGCCCATGTTTGCAGTTTGGATTTCCGCCCTATCGCTGCAGCTGACCAGTCGAGTCATTCGAGTGGCTTGGTGCTATCCGTCATTGCCCTTTTCTGATGCTTTTTGACGTTGTTTCTTAACATGTTTTTTTTGCATTATATATATAAATAACTATAATCCCTATTATATCCGTATTGTATGGATTGAATATTGTCCCTCTTTAATACCGAATGATTTACGGATGTAATAAGGATGTAATTATATATACCACATTAATCAAACCACAATGATTTACAATAGGGATTTTGCCTTGTGATTTGATTGCGATTGAGACATTTTCTCCTGAACATGTCTCCTGGAAGCTCCAGTCATCTCCAGCCATCTTGCCAGCGATTTTCGGATGGAACAAAGGGTATCATGGTTGAAAAAACGAGTCAAAAGGCCATGGTCCTTGGTTATGGTTCAACCTCAAAGGGTATCATGGTTCAAATATGTTCAAATCACCATGTGGATTTCACTTGAAGCTACCAGAGAAGCTAGACAGTGTCAGGGCTCCAGAGGACGAAGAAACCTAAGCCTGCTCAGGCCTCGCCTGTCATCAGCTTCTTTCATCCGCTTTATTTACAGAAAAGTCTTGTCCGCTAACCGAAGAATTCGGCCAACACTTTTCCTAGAAGGGCAGGATGGCGGGCCTTGTGGCCTTGTCCGTAATGAGATTCTTGAACTTTTCATCATCCGAGAGTGGTGAATGTGGTGAAAACAACAGCTTCAACGGCGCTTAGCACTTCTGGCGCACAGTTCTCTTTCACTCCAGGCCCAAACAGAGCACCTGCTGGCGCAGTCCCAGAGGCGACATCGGAGTGTTGAGCCACTGATTTGGTGATTTGGTTGTTGCATCTGGTTGTTTTTGCCCAAAATGCTGAGTTCCAAGAGTTTAACATGTTTAACACTCCAACAGAATCCAACTCTGCAATGATTTTCCGCCTCATCTTTTCAATCTTTTCAAGTGTCTCACCAGTTAGATCAACGCCATTGGAGCCAGGGTGAGATGGAGCTTGGCCCTGAGCCTCCTGAAACACACAGATTGCTGCAAGATGTTTAGAAGGCCGGAGTTTTTTGTGCTTGGCAAACCTTCGGGCCCAGTCCTGACATATGAAAAATCACAAAAGAATTATCCTCTGGTAAATTAACATAGACCCTGAAAATTACTATTTTTAACTGGAAACTAATCTTCCAACCCCTGGCAGGGTCTATGTTAATTTACCAGAGGGTAGCACATAATCAGACCTCTTATTTCAATGGATGAACATCCAGCTATACTGTAGCTATGTTCAGATGACAACCAAGGTGAATTGACCTCACATTGTTGATCCACCAGTGGAAGGAGGGTGCCAAGTGGCTATCAAACCCAGGCTGGGCACCAAAAATCATCCGCCGGATAGCCTGGATTTCAAATGTTTGACCGATACGGCCCCTTGAAATATGGTGGGCGAAACCGACCAATATGGGTCTGTGGCGTTCAAAATCTTTTTCGAGACCAATTTATCAGAGGGTTATCTTACCGTGATAACGCAAAAGCCGTGTGAACTTTAGAACACAGGCATTTTGACCACGGCTCACGTGGGATTTGACCGGTCAAGTATGGATCCACCTAACTCCAACCAGGTTTTGACATGACAGCATTCGACTTGGCCTTGAAGTACGCTCCTGACCGGTTGCGGACTTGTGGAGGCGGGGTGTGGCGAACCACCTGCCATGCAGGAGAAAGCTTCCACAGCAGGTTTTTGGAGTTGAAACTGCCTCAATTTCTGATGGCTGAAGAAAGATGACTTGGACATTGATTTGATAACTTCAATCTGCTCCTGAATAATTTTGTTCGGGTTCAGTCAGACCATCTTCCCTGGCAAGTTTGTGCAAAGTGTGTACTAGTAGATACAAATAATGAGGTGATGATTAGGCGTTGAAGTGCGTAGGTATAGATCTAGAATCCAGAGTACGCTTCAAACTCAAATCGTACTCTTGACTTCTGCACCCGGTTCAGTGCGCAAGCATGTTTTGGTTCTTTGGTGGTTGTGAAGTGGCAATGCTTCAGCTATCTAACCCACCATCAAATTTGATCCTCCAAACTTGAGACAAGAAACACAAGGCCCCACAAAGGTACTACGGAAGTGTGACATGATCTGAGACCTGCAAATCTCACTGAGTCTTGGATGTTTCGTTTTTTTCCGGATGATCGAGACAGGGTGTGATTTTCTGGTGATAATGTTGATGATGATTTAGGACATTTAGGATTATAGTGTAGTCTCTTTTGCTTGAATTTCCGGATGATTTTTTTGAACAATTCTCGCTCCAGGAGGAAGGCCTTGTCAGGATCCCTGGATGCCAGAGTTGATTCGGATCGCGGTGTTCGTGGGGCCCTAAATCTCCAACGTCACGGGGATCATCTCAGTGGGAACAGATCTGCGGCTCATTGGGCTCCAATGACTTGAACCAATCCGTGGATCCCATGGTGAGGTGCGCCACCCAATGACAGCAGCCATGAAGCACTTGTGCCCTGGGCCTTGAGAACTGGGGTTGCTGGGGTTGGGCGCGGTCATCTGAAGTTACTGGTAGTTGTTGTAGTCGTTGTAGGCTTGTGGCCGAAATGACGATCTGCAGAATACTTTGCCGCAGCCAGGCCGTTGAATTGAAATGTTTTGAAGAACTCCTGCAGCTGTACTGGCTTGCACATTTCTGGAAGCATGCTTCAGGTGCACTTGATTCACATGCCATGTGATTCGCATGGGCTGCATCAAGCCAGTTTGTCCCAGAAAGCCCATTGGAATCTGCTTCACGTGACCAGTCCTAAACAGTACTCGTTTCACCCCACGTG